GTATGAAATAGATGGATTATAAATCCCTTGGTCAATAGACATTTTTTATCCTTTTTTTGTATGTTTCCTAGCAGAGTTGGATATTGCTTGATTATTAAGGCAACCAGGTCTGATAAAATTGAATAATTATTGATGAAGTATTTATACTCTGATTCTTTGTGGAAGTTCATAGCAGAAAAGTTGTGAAGATGCAGTGTACCAATACAGTTACTCTGCAAAACTAACCCTTACTCTTGCTGTTGTAGGCTAGCCTTTAATATCTCCATGCAGATCTCATTTCCACTATTGACTGGGCCAGGTTCTGCACAGTTTTCAGTGTTTGAAGCATTCATTGTGGAAGAGAATGTAAACCAGTAGAATGAACTCAGTTATTTCCTGCATATTTAGAAGAGCAGCAGAGGTTATACATCAAATAATCAGTGGTGATTGAAGGGTACAACAAATTCAGTGACTCTATACGAACTCCTACTTTTTTTTTTTTTTTTAAGTGACAGCAGAACAAACATGAAACTGGTCTTGGGAGGTCTGTGCAGAATTGTATGGGCAAATGGAGTTATTCTGGATTTACACAGCTGCAGCTGAGTCTGAATCTGGGTCTTGTAATTAAATTTTAAACCAGTACCCTTATTCATGTTTCTAGTACTATTTGTTTTTTTACCCTCTGATGTAGTATATATTGCTAAAATGCAGATGTTGCTTCTGGAGTTCAAATATTTTCTCATAATTGTCCAATTGCAGCTTATTTACTTTAGAAAAAGTATGCTTTTCAGTGCAATAGATGCAAATATACTCTTCATGTTTTCTGTGTTGGCTAAATAGAGTTGTGGGAAATGATATCCTTACAATTATAGCTTTGTTCAGACTTGTTGTCCACTCCCATTCCCCTTGGAATTAACTACAAGCTGGCAAACTGTAGTAGCCTTTATTATATTGAATACACAAAGGCTCTGCTAAAAAATTTTAACCCGAAATGAGCAATGAAGGTGAGAGACTTCAGCTGTCCACCCACTTGACTGTGGCACTCTCTCTTCTGTCTTGTGTTCCCCTAGTACGCCAGACTGGCTCTGTGATTAAAGCTTTGTAAGTCTTAATTTTCTTGTCTTTTATTAGTTGGGGGTGCAGTTTGCAAACTTCTCTTTTGTTCAGTTTCCATATGCTTTCCCATCTAAACCACCTAATAGGAGGCTTATGAAATGCATGTTTTTATCTGCTGTTCATGAACAGCTTTCCTCAGTGAATCTATAGCCAAATCATTTTTAAAACGTTTGATTTCCTTCAAATTACAGATATACTTTTACAATCCAAACAAAGAGTAGTCTCAGCTAGCATAGTGACATAATAATAATGTTTAACATAATTTTAGGTGGAGGAGCATCAAATCCTTGATAGAATATGGGCCAATTTCTGCTCTGTGTTGACTGGGCAGAGAGCCTGACCACAGTTTTAAAGCACAACTGAGCCATGAATCAGTGGCTCTCAGAACTATTGTGGCCTTCAAGCAGAGCTTCCTCCAAGGTATTCAGTGACAGCCCAGCTCCTCCTCTTCCTTGACAGTGGAACTAGTGACTCCAGTTCATGTCTTAAGCAGCCACAATCTGTAATAACAAATCCTAATCTTTTATTCTGCTGCAGTGTTAGTAAATGTAGTATTGTGCTTTAGTATTAAAGAATAGCACTGCTAAGATTTTTAAGCATGACCTGTTCCCAGCACAGGGTTGAACACCTTTAAATGGCATCTTTCTCATAAAGTGGATGCTGCATGCTGTCTTAAAACAAATTCTTAGAACAACATTGGCAGCCTATGATTGCAGGTACAGCACATCACTGTTCCTTTTCAAAGTCTTCGTCATAGTAGTGGGTACTACAGTAACTGCATTGATGTCCTGTTTTTGATGATGGTTACTTAGATAACCCTTACCATGGCTTATCTACATTTTTGTGGGCACTGCGGTTGAAATCATGGCTTCACTAAAGCTGGTAAGACTCTTGATTTCTATAGAGGTAGGGTGTCTAGGTTAGATTTTACATTATTTTGGATTTCATGTAGTCTCGTGTTTGTTTTAGCAATAGTTCTACCTATATAGAGCTTTAAGGCAGATGCAGGTTCTATTTTTGTTCTGTCCAACTAGAATGTGCAACTCATGCATATATACGTACCACTGCCATAAATAGCATGCTTTCAGATTACAGGTCTGTAACACCAGATTCAGCAAACACTTACTCACCTGCATACTTGACAAAGCAATTTACATTAAGCTCGCGTGAAAGCGTGAGTATTTTCAGAATTGGGATTTAGTCATTGCAAAGAACTGCAAATAAGTTGACTCCTCTCCAGGACCAAGCAAGTGTGAAGCCTGGGGCTGAAATACAGGGATCAGAGAAGCAATATGTTTTTTGCATTGCCTTTCACCATCAAATTTAAAAATTGACTGAAGTTTTAACCTTCATTAGTCTGTGTGAAAGCCAAATCTAAGCATTTTAAATGAAATTATTTTTTCTCTGAAAATATTCTTAGCCCTTTTTGGGGGAGGTGAGGAGAGGGGAAGAGGAAACCTAAAAATGAGTAACCCAACAATTAACTTTTTAAGTGCACATAAAAACTGTGAACTCAAAGGGGAATTTCTCAGGTATTAAGGATACATCCACAGGCCTCTAATCGAGAGGATTCATCTGCACTGCAACACTTGCAGCCACGTACAGCGCTGCTACCTTGAGAAGACAGGTCTGGTCAGGGCGGTGGTGCTGTCTAGTGGCAAGTTACTGCATCTCATCACTGACAGAAGCCTTAACTGAGGAAAAATGTAAAATGCTGTATTAGATTAATATCCCTCAAAGAACGATTTGGACTATGCTGTTTTTGAAGCACATGGGTGTTTTCTAGTGCCTCTATACAGAGTTAAATAGTAACGTTTTGGGGGTATAGTTAAGGCAGTGCAATCCCTGTAACACAGGTGATGTTGTAGTGGTTCTCCCTTCCAGGAAGGAAAAGTTAATTGCTTTGGTTCTGGGAATGTGACTTACGCACATGAAATCATTATGACAAGAACTGTTTATATGCTATTCCCAAAGGCTCAAGGTTAAGGTCAGATGGTGAACTTGGTTGCAGCTGAGTCCGGTTAGGCACTTATTGCCCCCAGTCTGACTGCTGTGCCTTTGCAGAGGTTGTAGTCTCTGAGGCTGGCAGGCATGCTTGGCTACGACTTCTTTCTTAACCCAGTTCTTGCAGAGTGATCTGTTTTAGCTCAAGTAGATAGTTAAAAATCCATACTGTTTTGAGCAGCTGAGTTCCCTGGGTTTGTTCAGCCCAGAGCAGAGCAGGCTGAGGGGAGGCCTCATGGTGGCCTGCAGCTCCCTCAGGAGGGTAGCGGAGGGGCAGGCGCTGAGCTCTGCTCTCTGGGGACAGCGACAGGACCCGAGGGGACAGCATGGAGCTGGGACAGGGGAGGGTCAGGCTGGGGGTTCTGCACCCAGGGGGGTGGTTGGGCACTGGGACAGGCTCCCCAGGTCCGTGGTCACAGCCCCAAGCCTTCCAGAGCTCAGGAAGCTCACAATGCTGTCAGACACATGGTCTGTTTTTTGGGCAGTCCTATGTGGAGTCAGGAGTTGGGCTGAGTGATCCTTGTGGGTCCCTTCCAACTCAGGATATCCTGTGGTTAGGGAGGGTGAGCAGACATGCTCCCAGTGGGAGCAGAAACTTGTTAGGAAGCTGTAACCTTGTAACTTGGTGCAGCCACACCAGACTTATGTGTCTGGTCACAGGCTAAGAAATACCTTTGATGGATTTGGGGATTTCTGAACTTGGGTGTCCCAGGCACACCAGTTCCTATCAGGAAGTCAGGCTTGGGTGCATGAGGCTGAGCACACAGACTGTGGCTATGCTGGTGCAGTACCTCTGCCTTTGGGCTCCGGCTTGCTGAGCTGTTGTTGCTTGTTGGCTGAGGAGGAAATGTTTCATCTCAGCTAGGATGGGTTACTCATGCCTGCACCAGAATTTTAAGCTGATGGACACTGGATTGTTATATCACTGTAGTTTAATTATTGTCGTGGTGGTGGCTGATAAGGTGTCCTTGCATTTGTGGCTATAATTTTTTCAGCTGCCTGTTTTGCCCCTTGCTGGTTTTACTGTCCATCCAACACAGATATTATGATGAAACATGTGTGAGTGCCTGCAGAATAAAATGTTGTGGCCTGTTAACAAAGCTGTCTCCACTGATTTTTAACCTGATATGCCAGAGGGACTGGTACATATCCCTGCTGCTTTGGTCAGCTCTGCTGTGAGTCTGATACAGTTCAGTGGATGGAGGGGATGCACAGATGGGGACAGTAACTTGTTAAGCTTTTGTGGAAAGCTTCTTGTTTGTCCTCACCTACTCTCTTGCCAAATGTAAACTGAAATGTGTGAGTTCTGTCGTTGTGGTTAAAACTCACATAGTTTACTTTGTGATTAGTTGTGGATCAGCAAGTGTGTCATTAGAGGTTGGTTTTGCTTGATTTGTGTCTAAGTCAACCTTATAGATGAGAGATGCCAATTAAACTTCTATGTGGGCTATAAAGTTATGCCAGACAGCAAGAGTATATTGCTAAAATTCCGTTTCTCCTATCCAAATGGTGGCACTGGAGGAAAAAAAAAAAAAGATATGGAACAACCTCTTTCTGTATGGATTAAAACATGGTCTTCTATAATTTATGCAGAATTTATGGAGGGTATAGGTAGTCCCAGCAGATGTCCCTCTGCTGTGTGGTCTAGGGAATACAAACTAGAACACTTTATTTTGCTTTTCATACCTGGAAGAGTTGCCAATGTAGGGATCATTTTGTTTTATTTCACTAACACACGTATACCTGGTAGATGACATGGAACTTCTGAAACCAGGCACAGACTGCTGTTTAACTGCCTGACATGTCTGTGGTGAGTTTTTCTTGCTTTCAGCAGCCTCTTGTTCAGTTGTAAACATATATCCATACTGCCTTTCTGATCTGTTCTCTCTTCTGGTTTGTAGATACCAATATTACCTACAAGTGAAAAAGGATATTCTTGATGGCCGACTGCGTTCTTCATTGGAGCAGGGAATTCGACTAGCTGGTTTAGCAGTGCAAGGTAAGATGATGATACCTGCCTAGCTATTTTCAAACATGGACTGTGTGTTTTTTTTCGGGGGCTGGGGGTGGGTAGGGGAATTGTTCTAGATATGGACTGGGTGTTAACTAAGGCCATGCATGACTCCTGTTCACAACAGCCAGGTTGTTTGTTTGTTTGTTTGTTTTTTTGTACTTAGGTGGGCTTAAGTGCCTAGGTGGACTGCTGTTGGTGAAACTCACAACATCAGGGAGGGACTGCATCTCTCCCTGGTTGACCGCATCACAATGTTCAACTTTCCCTTTTCTTAAAGCCGTGCTAGAGAATTCGAACAAAACTCCAGTTCTAGCCCCAGCCACAGAGTACTTTGCAGTAATGAATTTACTTCACATTCTCTGGTTTGAAATGGAGTTACATCAAAGAGCACAGCAGCAGCTTTAATTTTGCCTTTAATTAAAAACTCATTTTGCTGTGTAGTGCTATCTGCATTATGAAAGAACACATGACCATAATTGTTACATGAGTTATAAATTAATAATAAACTACTTCTTACAATATGATTTTTATTCCGAGCCTCCTAATGACATCAATAAAAGGGTGATCATGTAATGTATGTGGGTAAAGGAGGAAGTCCTGTGTTTGCAGAAAATATATTTAAGGCTATCCGTGACTATGAGAGCTCAAAGTAGAATTCCAGCAATCATGCACTGGGCGCTTCTCTTTGGTTACGGGTGGGACAGAGGGAGGACAAGTATGTACATATAATAACAAACATGAAGATCTGATTCTTGAAAATTACAGGTTCTATGATATAAAATGCCCTAGTAATATTGTTAAATTTGAAAATTTGACTCTTAAAATTCAGTGACTGAAATCTGGTTTTCTGCTTTGTTGTAAATACAAGACTTTCTTAGTTTTCATTTAGGCCTTTCTGAATCTTAGTTAATCCTCATGCTCATCTCTGACATTGAGGGGGAACATAGTAGGTACAGGTGAAAACCAAGGCACTAGGTACTGTCTGCACCAGCTCCCCTGACTATTCTCTAGAAAGGTATCAGCAACCACTTTTTTTTTTTAATATTCTTGAAAATCTTTCTTAGGGCAGTAGTTGTTCTGTTACAGTATCTTATTGCTTGGTTAAAAATTGAAGGAAAAACATTTTCCATTAAATATTGAAATATAAATATTTATGAGTAATGGAGATGATGTATGCAAAATTCCATACTAAGCCTTGCACTCTGAGTAAATTAAGTTTTTCCAGCATTAAAGTTAATGATAAATAGACACTGGATATTTTTCACTGGTCCTGTTTCTTGCAGCGTTTTGCTGACTTTGGGAGCTAGTCAGTCTTTATAACATTTTGCAGCAGTCAGTATTATTCTGAATTTTCTATGTAATATATTTCAAAGACCATTGCATCAGGATCCTGCATCTAATCTTGTTTGCTTTATTCATGACCTTGTGTTACTCCCTTTGTCCTTTTCATGTGAGGCAAACGAAGATACTTGAAATACTTACTTTTAAACTTACAGAGTCTGTTTCATGTCCATTTTGATTTCTTTATGTTTATGTTAAAACATAACTCTGAGGTGAAAACAAAATGAAACTGCATTTTTGGCATCCTGCAATACGTAAAGTTCTCTAGAAGCTTTGAAAGAATGTTTAGCTAATATGATTTACGGTGGGGATTTCCAGCTTCTATAATATGAGAATCTTGTAGATGGCGTTTGATCCAGTTCAATTAATATAAAATAGAAACCTCCAGGCAAGATATTCTTTTGATATAAGTTGTTGTGTATTTAACAGATATATACGTATATACACTTTTTTTTTTGTTTAAAGTAGCTTAGCCTTTAGGAAGCATTTTCAAAATGCTGCAGTTTCAAGGACATTTAGACAAGAATCCTCAGCCTGACTTAGAAGTGAAGGTGGTCATGCAGATGAAAACCTCTCAAAGATACACAGAAGAGGCAGAAAAATGTAGAAAAGTCTGAAGGGCCAGTCAATTAAACTAACACATTGCCTGGGCTGTTATACTGGCTGCAGAAGGATAAGACTTATTCCCCACGCTCCCTCCCCCAGCCATGTTGGTTATCAGCAATTTTTAGTATAATTGGCTAGTTGATCTTAGCCTTCTAGGCTGGTAAGCATCTTCCTTACAATTATGTAGAATTGTAGTAGAGCTAGGTTAATTTTTTTTTGTCTGGTCAGGGTCAGGTTTGGGGATTTTAGAGAAGTAAAAGCATGTACCATTTTAAAGAAACCAGAATATCCCAGTCTTGCACGTCTGATAGTAAATCGTTGCAAATGGCTATAATATAAAGGAACAAAAGAGAAAAATTACTTGTTGGCTGTTATTTGATCTCTAGTAATAACGCTTTATTTTCAGACCTCTGTGTTAAAAGCTAAAGTACAAACAGAAATCTTTGTGCTGGGTTGTGGCTTCAGAGAAAACTCGCCCACTTGAAGTTAAGCATCTGTGCAAAGACTGAGTGTGGTCTTAACATGTGTGGAAAGTGCTAAAATGAGTAACTGTGTTGTTTTTTCCAGCGGATTTTGGAGACTATAATCAGTTTGAATCTCATGACTTCCTCCGAGAATATGTCTTGTTTCCTATGGTGAGTTCCTTATCCTCCTCTCTTGTGGTCTTTTCTGAGTAATTTCTCCATGCCTCAGAGATGGCTTCATTGATAACAGAATAAAAGCACCAGTGCTAAATTATTAGCAGCGGATGTAAACTTTGCTCCCCAAATCCTGCAATATACTTGGTTGGAGCTGAATGAATATATTCTATGGAAATGTAGCCCTTTTTCAGTTCCTGTTAAGCCTCCACTGGGAATAGCTGTCAACAAAAGAAGTGTACTTATTTGAATCAAAAAAGAATTTGCAGCTATTTAGAAAGGTGTATATTAGTCATACTGCAGTATTAGTAACATGGCATGTTATAAAGGGATATGAAAGCTGCTGATGTAATAAATGTTGTGTCACAGGACTCAAGAGAATGCGAATTTACATCAACTGACTACTAGACTGAAGAGAAGCATGAATCAGTTCTCAAAATATCCTCCAGGGACAGTGCTGTAAATTTGTTTTAAATTTGAATTGGAACTAGCAAATAATTTGAATGCTGAGGGAATTGTTTTAGGTCACTGATGACATTAGAAACTGGTGATAAGTGCCAAGCACTTGCAGCCCATGACACTGAGCCCATCTGGGAGGATGGACTGGGGGGCAGGGAGGCAAGACACAACACCACAAGCTGCTCAGAGGCTGGCTTTATCTTTGGCCACCAACTCCATCAGCACAAGAAGTGAGTCTAAGCTTCATAAAAGAAAAAGAACTTGGAATTCTTTCAAAATAGAAACAAAAATTGGAAGTGGGTTGGGGTTCCCATGCCCTAAATGTCACTGGCTAGAAGGTAGGCATATGGTTTCCTTCTGCAATTAGTGTCAAGGTAGACAGAGTGATTAAGCTCACTATACTTCAAAGGCATGAGAAAAATACTTCCAGAACCATTTCATCCCATCTACCTTCACTTTTTGACAGTAGAGAAGCTGCAGCCTTCTCAAAGTTGGTAGTCAATTCCCAAGTTCAAACAGGTAACATTTGCACAGTGTCTTCAAGTGAAAGTGCAATTTCAAGCTAGCAGGCAGTTGAATATAGAAATTCAGCAGAAAGAGGAGAAAATAATGAGTATGCAGAGATCTGAATATGCCTTTGATACCTAGAACGTGGCTTCAGTATTGACCTTTCACTAAGGAGCTTCTGTTAGCTTAACAGAGCAGCTGTTAATTCATCTATTCTTGTTGCAACAAGGATTTCTTGTTAATAATAGGTAATTATTAATCCTGTGTATGGTTGATGGCTTATGAAGTCATATGGTAGTCTATGTGGGAAAGGTGATGGATGAAAATATAGACAGGAAGGTGTAGTCAGGTTGTCACTTCGTAAATTACTCCTGCGAAGTTCTTTCGATGTGCTGATGGTATTTTTCTTTTCACCAAAAAAAAAACAAACAAAAAAAAAAAAGGGTGTGTGTGTGAGAATTTAGGCATCCAGATGAGATTTCAAGCCACATTTGAATGTAGCTCAGCAGTTTACTTTTCAGGCCAACCTCTTAGGACCTCCTTTTCTGAGTCAGCTGCCTTTGTTGTGTTGTGGTCGGCTCCCTTCCGTTTTGGATGTGCTCACATTGTGGTATCTAGCTGTTCATCCACACTGCTACTACTAAATTTGACAAGATCAGCAGAGTGTCAGCTTCCTACAGTCTTCAGAAGCCTACTCTTAAATCAGTTTTTCTCTAGGCATCTCTTTCCCTTTATTTAACTTCTCGTCTCTGCCCTTCTGGGGAGGAGTGGATAACGTAACAGTAAATATTTCACTGCAACTTCAGTGACAGCTGCGAAGTGCTGCAGATATGAACTAGTCCTGAAGCAAGTGGGAGTATGCGAGCGGATCTCAGGCACAGAAGGAGCCTCCAACAAGAACGTTGCCATAAATTCATTAGCGAAGGGAGCTGGTGAATGAGGAAGGGGCAGCTACATTTGTACTGTTTGATCTTGTGAGGCTACAATGTGTTTCAAATGGCATTTCTTCAGCAGCAAAAAGAACAAAGTTATGTACACAGTACACCCCACAGGTGTGTAGCTGTGCATAGGCATGTACCATGCCATTTTTCATTAGCACGCTACCACTTTCACATTTTTTTGTGGCAGAAGCAAATATCAGAGGGAGGGCCCATTGAGCAAGAAACAGGCAGTATATTTAAGTATGTTACATGCAGCCTTAAGGCTTTTTAAAATAAAAATAAGAACTTTGAGGTTTTGCAAGAAAATTTTTCAGCTTCCTTTTTGTTGCCTTGAATTTATGAGCAGACTTCATTTATTAACTTGCTCCCAATTATTTCAGACTTGTTTCTACCACACAAGCGATTATATTTGTGGAGGATAAATTCTACTCAGAAATGTGTTGCAAGTGTAGGGTGAATTTCATTATATGCTTGAAGAGAGAGTTAAGTTTTTGATTCCTATTAACGTGAGGAAGGCAATGCTAGCAGGCTGTAGGACAGAAAATACCCATGGCTTCAATTTGCATGGTCTATGGAATATTTTGATCTGTTTAAAAAGGTATGTAATTGTCTGTAGGCTTCCAAGTGCTTTTAAAGGCTTGTTTGGTCCTTATTCAAGAAAAGATCCCTTATCCATGCTCTGTACTCTGTTTCGTATTGTGGAATAAAAGCCACCTGAACCCTGTTTTAGCAGTATCTTTGTAGAAAAAATAAATTAAACACGAGTTGGACTTTTTTTTTTTTTTCTTGCATGTTTTCAGCACCCTGTGCTTGGATATGTGCCCTGAATTTTCAATGTATTTGGTGCTAGGCTCTCTCTGTATAACTACGTGCAAGAACATGAACGGGAAGCAACCCTGAAATGTGTACCATCATAATTCCTGTCTTGTACTTTATTCTCTCTCTCACTGGATGACGAGCTTTTGATGCTACCTCGTTTTCTTACAGGACTGGACCCAAGATGAAGCTGTCTTGGAAGAGTTGACACAAAAGGTTGCACAGGAACACCGAACTCACAGGTGAGCTTGACATGTGAAAATTCAGCTTTTTTTTTCTTTTCATTTGTCATCAACCTCCCTGTACTTCCATTCCTCTCCTGTTCCTTGCAGTGATATACCAGCCTATCTCCATGTTACTGTTATGCTACATCTAGCTGGATATATAGTCTGTTACAAAAGATTATCTGCCTCTTGTGCACGCAAAATGGCCAAGGAACTTAATCCCAAATAAATGAGGATTTCTACCACAAGGTTTAATGAATATGTGTAAAACTAGCGGGGCTACAGAGTAGACTTCTTTCTCTTTTAGTCTTCATTTAAATCCTGATGCTGAAAGACCTCATGGCTTGATTAGGGGTTACCCATGGGTCTGTTCAAGGGTTTTCTCTCATTCAAGAGAGAGAAAGTTATACACACTTCCAGTGTAACACAAATAAAAATAACAGGAGGTGGAATCCCTTTCTTGTTGGGTTTCAAGTCTAGCTGTGGAAAAGGTAAAATACATTGTCACTAATTAATGACCTGTGCATTAGTGCTCCAGAACAAATACCTTATTTTTAGTAGATTTCTTTTGTGTCATCTAGGTGTCCCAGTGGTAAAGGAATTCAAAGTTCTCGAGTTTGGTTCTTAGAAAAATGTCAGTGCCTATATGGCATTGGAAATTGTCTTTCTTATTATGTTATGAATCTGCACTTAAAACTTGACTATATGAAATGCAATAGGAATAGTATGTGAAAGGTAAAGCATTTCCCATTGTATGCCAGAAAATGATCCTAAAGGAGCAAACACGGATGTGTGAGTTGAAGGCCATTTTTGTTGTGAGTTTTAATGCAAGCTTGGGCCTTTGCAGCCGAGCTGTTAGTTTGTGAGCTGGCCGTGCATACGCCTGGTTCTGTTCCTCACTATCTCTGCCACGGGCTGCTTGACATGTTATTGATCTTGGTTAACTCCCAGACTTGAAAGGGAAGATTTCCATTCCCCGTTGCGCTCTTCAGTGCTATTTCAGCAACACAAAGTACAAATACTTATTCTTGTATCAGAAGGTAGATCAAATTCCAGATTCGTTCTTTCCCTGTTTCCCCTAGATATTTGTTGGTTTCCTATATTTCTGTTTATATGCTGTGGTAAGGAGGAGCAAAGAGGAGAAACATTGAGTGACCTTCTTTTGGAACAACCTGCAATCTATTCTGACCTGCTTTTGAGAACTGAAATCTATCTGAATTCCTGAGCTGTGACAGGAGCGTGTGTGGACACGTGTGTAGAAGATTTTTTCAGATGATTTGTTCTCTGTTACGAAAGAGAACCTACTCAAAATTTGGATTCAGTGCCTGTGTTTTTGAACAGCAAATATGAATATTTGGGTCTTCGCTTTTAGGCCATTTTAAGCACCTTCAGTGAATTGATAAGCTAGTTATGCAAATTAGGAGCCCTGTGGCTCAAATTGGCCATCCAAGGCTAGGCACAACCTGTTGCAGTGGCCTGATGTTTTAATAAAGCTTGGAAAACATTTGCATGCAGAAGAAACTGAGTAAAGGGATCACTTCAGTTTGTTCCTGCTCTAATTTGAACTAATGCTTTGTACCTTACCTTAGCAGCACACAGTAAAATTCCTCCCCTTCCAGATTACGATCCTAGCATTGAAATTGTTGTACGTTTCTAGGCTGCATTTCCAAAGCGTCTTGTGAAGTGGTTTGTGAATCTCCCATTTTTTTTCATTAGTATTTTTTGTGTGCATGTAATATTGAAACATTTGCTGCCTTTTGTTATTCCAATTGCAGTGGCATTACAGCGGCAGAGGCTGAGTTAATGTACATCAATGAAGTGGAACGCCTTGATGGATTTGGACAGGAGACTTTCCCTGTGAAGGTATGTCAGCATATATTATAAAGAAACCTCTAAGTTAAATGATGTAGGAGTCTGTGGCAACCTTTGTAACACATGCAAGTTGTTCATCCAAAAGAGGCAGGAGCTGTTTCAGTGTTCCAGAAGATGAAATGATTTCTGGTAGTTTGAGTGTAAACTGCAGCACGAGGGTATCTCAGGCCTCTGCTGTTACTTTCCTTCCACCAAAATCTTTTTTTGACAAAAAAGTTTGCTATATGCAAGAGCCTTCCCGCAGATATTATGGCATGTTAGGTAAGTATGAGTGGTGGACTGGGTGCTCTGCAAAAATGCAGAAATGCATTTGTACAAATTTGTACGAACTTGTACGAAAGAATAGCAGGCTGGTATTGCAGACAAATAGAACTGCATTTGAATATACAGCTGAAAGATGTTGTTTTTGTTCCTGTTACACATATTTCTAATAGCATTTTTTCTCATTATATGGAGATACCTGCATATGTATGCATAAGTATATGCATATTTATATGGACAAAAACACACACATTTTTTTCCCCATGTCCAGGACAAGGAAATGCATGTGTGAGTTCTCTGAACAGCCTAAAGTAAAAACTGTCAACTGTAGGACCTCTTCTGCCTTGTAGTGTAGGTGGAAATATCCTGATGAAAGCGGCACTGAAAATTAGTGCATAGGCTTGGGCTTGAAAACTGGTGTCCATTGTTTATTTGCTGCAGGACAAATGTTTGGAAACAGATGCAGATAGTCAATTGCCTACCTTCCAGGGATAAAGTACAAGAAGGCCAGGAGAACAGCTTCAATCTGATCTTTTAAAATCAGGGGCACCTCATGGTTCCTAGAACTTAGGCATGTGTAGCACATGAACTTCTCTTTATACCTTTCTTTTAGCAGTTCTTTTTAACCATGCTATTTGTGTTACCACTTTGAAGTGTGAATCCATTGCTGTATATGAAGCTGTGAGGAGTTGTTTTTGTTGATAATGTTCAGAAACCTCTTTGTCAACAGCATTAAACTTTTCTAGCAAAAATAAAAGGCATTTTTAAGAAAAAAAAAAAAGTTTGCAAAATGGAGCAGGAGCACATGCTTTTCAAAAGGGAAAATGCAGGAGATGTGGGTAGACACAAACAACAGAATTTCTGAAAAGCAGTGCAAGAGCAGTGGACAGTGCATGATGCAAGTAGATGAATATTTAAGCAATAATTGAAAAACAATGAAGGCTGTATCTGTATAAAGATACAACAAATACTTCTTCAGGGTGACACACTGTGAACTTCTACACAGTACTTTAAAAGAGGAAGGGTGAAGGGTAGAGCTTTTGAGAGGGATTCCATCTCCAGGTGTGGTTTTCTGAAATCTCTGCATGTTTTAACAGATGACTGGAGCAATACTGCGAATGCAAAAGAGGACTGTTGCTTTTGGTAGTCATACAGGCTCTAGATAGCTATAATACAATTATAGGGAAAGTGGGGTATTGTATAACAAACGCCAGTTTGTGGTGTGCATGTTGTTTCATAGAGGAGAACCTTGAGCTCACTTAGCCTTAATCTATTCTCAGTAATCAACAGAATGAATCCACTTAAGTGTTAGTTGCTTTGAAATAATGAAAATCAGAGTCCAATAAAGCAGCAAAATATAGGTTAGTCAAGGGTTAGTCCCCCATTCATCCTGAAGAATGGCTTCTGTTTGGTGGTTCAGCATGTGTTCTTATGCACGTCTTTGCCGGTTTCTTTATTAAACTAAATATATACCCTTTTTGTGCAGGATAATCATGGAAACGACATACACCTTGGTATTTTCTTCATGGGAATCTTCATAAAAAACAGAATTGGAAGGACAACTGTGATCTATAGGTAAAAACTAGGGACTTCTGTATTTAAAGTGAGTTTCTTTTCAGAGCTCTGTGTGTGGGTTTTTTTTTCCTTACATATGTGACTTCAATAGTGCCAATGCTCTAACTAAGGAGTAGTCACCTCACTGTTTTCAGCATTGGCCTCTTGGCCGTAAGAGATGTGATAAAGAATAATTTCTGATGTCTCTGAATGGGTTTGACAGCAAGAAAGACATAGTTGTCTGTCATGTATCTTGTTCTACTTACAAGGCTTTGATCCCTTTTCTTTGCTTGCCTTTGTGTCTGCTTCTTTGATGCATCTGAATGCAAATCTGTTAAACCTCACTGTTGGCAGCCTAGGCGCTCAATGTTTCTGAAAATCTGGTTGCCATATTTAGGTACCCTGCTAAAAAAGCTGAACTTTCTGTAATTTTGAAAATCCTGGCTGTGTCACTTATGTTGTTTGTACTGCTGTTTGTTTTGGTTATTAAGAATCACTGAAGCCATTCCATTGAACTCCATTGTGCAGTTTGTTACTTCTTATAAAAATTTGTTCTGTATGAAGGTGTTGCTAGAAATCTGCATGATTCCAGGGAAGGTGATGTTTCTGTCATTTCTTTTTGCTGCTTTTGGGCATTTCCCTTAATGCTGAAGTCAACTTGAAGTGGATTTTTCCCAGCCCTTGTTGCTGTTAGAATATCAATCAACACCTATGCAGACAAAAAATTGTTTTATGAGGTACACTCATTTTTAGTCAGTAGCTAAGGCTTGTATCAGGCTTGAGCAAGAAGGGTGTTGGGTTTTTGTTTTTTTGTTTGTTTGTTTTTGGCACCTTATAAAAGATTAAAGCGGTCATCTTCAAAAATGTCAGGGCTACCTTTTCCATAGAGCTGATGTTTTACATATGTACTTTTGTGAAGAAATTAGATAATTTTAACTGTGCCATTCTGAAGACGTGTTAAAATGTAGGTGACAAAGGCAAGAAGTTTCTTAAATGTAGAAATAATAGTTGGTGCTGGGATGCTTACTCTTTGGAAATATGTGCTTCAAGCATCCTGCCATGACATGAAGAGGAATGCATGCTGCAAACAGAACAAACAAGTCCTTTCCATCTCCATGGATTGCATGCAATGTACGCCAATGTGTCTGTCAGCTATTTGTAAGAAGATTATAACTCTGATCTTGGGTAACTTGACAATTACTTGAAAAAAAGATTGCGAACGTTAAACAGGGTATTAGCATGGTATGCATAGCCTACATAACCATGTTGTCAAGTTAACCTCCTTTAGGAAGAATTGACTATGTAGGAAAGTTGGAAACAGAGTTTGGAGAGGAGTGGCATTATATTAAAAGAAATCATTAAAAAAATCCATCTGATTAAAGTCACTCTGTACCGAAATGCTACAGTTCAGTATATTTAGTACTAATGTATTTCTGATGTACCTTCTATTGTGATTCTTCAAATCAATGTTTTTAAAGAGAGCTTTTAACTTTCCTGTTTTGGGTTAAGAACAGAATAATCTCACTCCTTGAATCAGAGCTTGACTTCCTCATTTTCCTGACCATGTTTCTTCACCAAACAGCTACTGAAAAGCTTTCCCATAAAACAAGACTAATGTTGACTAAGGGATTCTTAATGTGTTTGTGAAATGTTCGAGTGTATGTGTTGGCAAACTCTACCCCATTTTGTTTTTTTAACTCTTACAGGTGGAATGACATTGGGAATATTGCACATAACAAGTCTTCGATTGTTCTAGAGTTGATCAACAAAGAAGAGAATGTGCTTTTTCACACAGTAAGAAAAAGATCTAATCAGTGTTATCAAGAATCTGCTTATATAAAACATAAATATATATATTAAAAAAAAAAAGCTCTTTAATTCCACTCCAATCATACTGAAGTATAATATGCTGGGAAGTTTGCAAAAAAAACAACAACAAAAAACAGGTATGTTACCACACACACACTGAAACTCAAGGACGGGTGCAGTGCTGCACTGCACTTCTTCAAATCGCTCTACATCTCACTGAACCAAGGCCAATGTAGAAACTGGACCAGCAACCTTGAGCCATTTTTTGTTGTTGTCCCTCTTCCCCTCCCACTGTGACTTAGCACTGAAGTGGCAGCGTGTAAAGGCATGCCACTGTATTTCAGTAATTCAATGCCTTAAACACTCTTGAGGGCACTAGACATGTTCTTGGCAGCCAGATCCTGCGCATGACAGACCTTACCAAGCATTACTGCAATTTGATTTGTAGAACTCTTCTGTGTTATTGGTGAGAACAACAAAATGAATGATTTTTTTTCTGATTTTTCTTGTGTTTAAAGGATGATCTTGAAAATGCCAAATATATTTCACGGCTATTTGCAGCAAGACATAAGTTTTACAAACAGAACAAAATCTGCACAGAGTGAGTACTCTTTCTTCAGAGTTATATTCTGACAACCCTGCTTTGGAAGTGCTCTGAGTTTTGGCGTGTCTGTTTTTGTTTGTTTTTTCTAGTCACTTGTGTCAGTTATTCTGTTCTACTTTTTTTTTTCTTTTTGTTTTAACCACCAGCTAGAACAGAAGAATGAGAATGAAATTTAATTCTGAGCCTTGGGAGGCTTGACGCATGAGCCCTGTTGGATAATGCTCACCAAGCAGCCAAATCTGACAGAATAATGAATTGAAGCCCTTAGTCTCTGCTGTTCATGACCCAGAGTGTTAGTATAAACTGGAGTGAAAGGTGACATAACATGCCAAAAGATGAATTACAGTAGTGTTTTGAGGACGCATTACCCAGGTAGCTTCTAAGGCTGGTGGAGAACCTAGGTTATCCTCCTCTAATTTAGGTAGCATAATTTATTCACTTCTTACATGCACGAAGCAAGGCAGGACACATGGGAATGTTCATCAGCATAGTCATAGTTGCATGACTCAGCAGAGACTGAATTTGAACCTAGAGTTTCTTACAGGCACTGCTTTGAGTACTTACTAAGAAACTGGCCATGACATAGTCCTTTCACAGCTGTAGTCACTCTAACTGGAGGAATTCATAAGGCTTTTTTTGTAAGTCAAAAGTAAGTTTATTAGCTGAGAACATTTCATTTATACCACTACACAGCCAATTTTAGTTTGAGGTAAATTTAGTTTTAAGAGGTCTAAGGTTTTTTGAAACTTTTATAATATGCCATGTTTGTATAGCAATGAAAACATGAATTCTTTGCAAAACTTACCAGTTTAGTTAGCTGGAAAGCTATAAAGAAGTCTCATCTCCAACAACAGCTCTAGTTAGAGCTGGGCATCCCATCTGTTCAGCTGGGTAATGCCATCTGTTGGAAAATAAAGCCAAAATGATGAAGGGAAGATTGGAAGGTCTAACTTTCTAGTATTACATATGCGCACAGTATATGAACATACGCTGAGTTACAAGTATTGGAGAAACTGATGAGTTGAACTGTATAGAGTGATCTTTTCACATACAGGATGTTTATTAGATTTCAGATATTGTTCACAGTTCTTGGGAAGTGAGTGGAAGACCAGAAAAGACCTTCATTAGCAGCATATAATGCATTTCATTAGTCCAATGCTAAATGTAATTGTTTCAGAGAAATTGAATTCAAATGAAATTCCTCAGTCTTTTCCCTGTGACAGTCAAGAAAAATAAAACAAAATACCATCATCCACTGTATTAGAATATTCCCCCTTCAAAGCTGTTAATTGGGGTCTACAGAGAGGACTCTTCCGTTACAGTCCATAATCCAGACTGCAGAAGCAATAGCTTTTGATCATGTTTATTTCTGACTACTAAACCATAAGTATGTGGGTACCATGAATTGGGTGTATGTAGCAGCTTCACATACAACTTCCAAATATTTGGACTAATAAAATAGGGAACATCATGAAGTCAATGAGCGAAACAATTGGAGTTTGAATGTATTTTTGCCATTATAACTGCCTTCCTTCCTACCACAGTCTCATGCGGTATGAGCTTCTGTGTTAGGGCCACAGATATTGATGACAGCATATGCCAGTGTGTGTTTTCTAGCCAAGTAATTTTCCTGACCTCTGTGTTAAAATTGTAGTTGTTTGTTTTCCTGTGTGCATTTCCTCTAATTGCACATAACATCATTCACCAGATCAGAAACTGTAAGAGGAGAAATCCCACCTTTCCTCTCTTCACGTAAGCACTATATTTCTGCCTCCTTCAAATTGTTTCTCTTCCTATTTAATTTTCTTCCTCCCACACTCCTCCTGCTTTCCACTGCACCTGGCTACTCTAACATTGTATCTGCCTCTGCTAGTATCATCTAACCAGTTGCTTTCTTCCTCATGATCTGTGTGCATTGCTTTGGAGTGATTGCTATGAATTTCATAAAATTGTCATTGTTTCAATGTTCACTTTAAGTCATCTGAGACAATGCCTGCGTGGCATGTTCAGTTTTTATTGCTTAAGAGATTTTTTGTTTGATTCATTTTTAAATGAAGTTTTTTTTTCCTTGTGTTTCCAAATAAGCTAAATAGGATAATGAACAGAAGGCATGTATATTTTGGAATTAGAATACTGTCTGTATTTAGGGAAGGACCTGAATTATTTTCATCTTATTCATATTTTTTAATCTCATGAATGAGCAAGTATTTACAGATTCTTCATCTCTTGTCTTTCCCATTCATTTCTGAATTAGAATTGAAACACTGCAATTTCTAATATTTGTCTTTACTTTTTCTTGCACAGACAATCAAATTCTCCTCCCCCTATCCGACGACGGCCCACTTGGAGTAGATCATCTTTGGTATGTACCATGGTGTTTTCATTAAGAATGCCTATGGCACTTCTAATGGAAGGGGGCATTGTGTAAGATGGAATATTTGCTAAATTTCAAATAAGCGCATTAGCTCGTTTCTTGTAGGCAATATGATTGGAATGAGTTTCAAGGGTGTGGCTGCCCAGGTTGATTAATTTAACTGGATAATATCATCACTGAGTGTTTAGAAATTACAGTCTTCAAGGCATTATATTTTTATTTGCCCTACAGAAACTAAGCATCTTTTCTACTGGATTGAGATTATATTCAATATGTAGAGAAAATAATTCTCTACAGACTAGAAAGAACTTGAAATGTCTTACACTGTATACGTCAAAATCTATTTATTGCATAATTTTAGAGCGTCTCATCTTGTGTTTCTTCTATTCCTCATGTTTTTGTAAAGTCTGCTTTTACTGTTTTACTGTTTACTCTCAGCTTCTTGGGCTGAGAGCTTATTCTCCATGTGAAGTTTATTGTGATTTTAAGTAAAACTTTTATCATCAGTCCAAGACCTCTGAGTTTTTCTTAGTCTGTTTCCATTTTAACTGATCTTGATAAATAAATAAATACAACTTTTTCCTGAAATCTTGACTTCAGATTTCTTTGTCCTTTAATTCTCAGCATGTTTCTGGGGTGTTACACAGAGACTGTATATCGTGTTCTCTTAAGCACACTTACATTATTTTTGGTATCTGCTATTTTGGTTCCTGGAGATGACTCTGAAAAACTTAAGGTGAAGAAAGGAAATGTGCTTTGCATTCTTATGCTACAGCTTCAGATATATCACAAACAGAAAGAGAACCTTCTTCTGTTAGATAAGGAAAATATAAATCTACTTGTTAACAGGAAAAAAAAAATACTGCTGCTTGTTTGTTTTGAACATATGTAGGCAACAAGTGTTTTTTTTTTTGTTTGTTTTTTTGCAAAAAGGCTCAGAAGGATCAAGAGGAGGAATAAATATATACTCATCAAAAAGTGATTCACATTAAAAAGTGAACTGGACTGTAAACTATTCACGAAGAACTTTTAAGTGTTTTTTCATAGTTGTTTTGTTAACTTGATGGTACAGTTGTTTGTTAACTTGTTGGTACAATCGTTGTACAGTTCTTATTTGGGGAGAGACTCCTGACTGTTCTCTGCTCTGTACACCTTTGTCTGCCTACCTATTCACTTGTCTTGTATGGTAGTAAATCAATAAGCATAGATGGGAAGCCAAGTCTTTGGGATGAGACTCTACCACTTGACTGAGAATCATATATGTTACTTTTAGATTAAGACCCTTATCATTGTTTTGGCATCATAGTGAACCTGTATTTTATTAACCATTATTTTAAAGTCATTTTACACTGTCTCTTTCCTGTCAGGCTACCTGGTGATGTTGTTTTTCGAGCAAAACCTCCTCCATGTATGTGATATGTTTAAATAACTGATTTATTATTTTTTTTCCAAGTGATCCCTAAATTGGATATTGAAGTTTTCCACACCTCTACGTTTTCAATCCTATTTTTTTATTTCTCTGGAAGAGGCAGATGGGCCTTCAAAAAAAGGAAGAGGGAGGGGGGGACCTTCAGCCCACTTGTGAATAGCTTCCATTATTTCATAATACCTATCTCAAAGACAACTGTCTGCCCCAAATTTATACATTCTCAAGTAGAAATAACTTTCTCCTTCCTTGCGTATTTCCTCCACCCACTATTTGTTAGGTTTGCAAACATCTTGGCTTCTTCCAGGCTCAACTCTCATTCATGGGTTGTCAGGAGCAGTCTCCTTTGCCCAAAATGCTCAGTGAGCGTAGGGTTTTATACCCTTAGAAGTATAATTCATCTAGCAGAAATATTTCCCGTCATCTTCCAGTTCTGGCTTAACACAGGCATTTTGTATGCAGGAATTCATATGTGCACCCAGTTTCTTTGATTCTCATTACCTCTCCCCATTTACAAAGAAAATGTAAATTTAACCCATTCCCCACCTCTTTTCAGTGGCAAATTGTTGCTTGGTGCTCATTTTGTGCAGGCGAAGCTAAATTGTTTGGCATTTAGTTTTTGCCTTGGGCATCCACAGAATTCCTTAATAGTTCAAACTACTTAAATCAGCCTAGATGAAAAGCACATATTCTGTTGTTAAGGAAGACACGTTCATGAGACAAGAGCATCTTCCTTCTCTCCTTGTATATCAAAGCGTGCTTTCATAAACTCTGCTCAGCAGCACCAGACAGGACATTACAATGCAGGTGGTAAAATGAAATTGCAAAATTCATCAGTTTACTGATGGACAAACTAGTGAATATAGCATCAGCTGTGGCTTATTTCCCTGTAAATAACTCTACCGATCTAATGCTGAATTACCCCCTGTGATACCTATACCATTAAAAAGTTTGTTGTGGTGCAGATTCAAGCAAGGCTCCAATTCGTTGTCTAGGGGAATCCAACATTCAATTTGTCTGCAGAGTTATTTTAAGTCTGTATGTACTCCTGTTTCTTGTATAACAGTGTTCTAGGGCCTTGAGTTTGTTCCATCTGCTTTTGTCCTGATTAGGTGTTTTTTTTAGTTTTGTTTTGTTTTAATTGTTCAAGGGTAAGGGCTTTTAATAAACTTTTCAGAAGTTCTAAGTGAGCTGTGAGTCTGAATGTTGTTTTCTGAAGTGGTTTACTTTAAAGGAGTCTAAATGGTCAGTTTTGGGTTCCTTAGCAAAACCTAACAATTTACAAAATGCTGTTCTCTGTTTTGTAAAGAAGAGCTGAGCATGTGTATTCATCTGGGTAAGAAAGAACAGCATTCAGTTCCTACGTTTTCCTGTTTCATCTGCAAAAATCTGAGTTTCTAATGCTTCTTTAACCTATGCTTTTATTTCAGCCAAGGCAACATCCATTTATACTGCCTCCTATGCATGTCCAGTGTGGAGAACACTACACGGAAACACATAATTCACAAGGTACGTAGAATGTATATGTTACCTTAGGGGGACTTAAATTTTATGTGTATGCAGAGAAGCTACTACCCCTTATATCTAGAATTCTAGTGCTGTCACAGTCTAATTTGAGTTGCTGCTGGAGGACAGTTAGCAGTTTTATAGTTAATACTGCAGTAAGTCTCATGTTTAAAGTCAAATTTCAGTTTTAAAATTTCTCTAAAATATCCGCACATGATTATATGGATCTTAGACTTGGCATTCCAGTTAAACAAACTGAAAAAATAATTTCTGAAGGAAGTATGATGGCTGTACTCAAAGGCAGTGCCAGCTGGGATCTTGGAGAGAAATGGAATGAGGGAAAAGGAGACAGTAGAACATCTATTGCCATAGGAGAAATCAGCGTGCCATAGTCACAAAACTGATGATATTTAGATAATATTTTCTGCTGACTTTAACCAATATCTGCCTGCATTAGTTAACTCACGTTCATATGGATAATACTTTTGCCCCCATGTTTGAGAAACAAATCCTTTAAGAGGTTGTACCAGGTTACTTTGATCAAGGCTGGGAATAGAGCCCAGCCTCTAAACACCTTGAGTCTCACACCCTTAACCACCCCACCTTTTGGAAGACATGCAGCCAGGTCTATTAGGCTATGTTCTCAGCAGTTCATGAGAAGTACAGTTGAAGTGCTCTTAGTTGTATGTGATAGCATTTTAAAATTGTGGTTGTCTGACTAGTTTTAAAGTAGTATTTGATAAGTTGTGAAAAGAAGCCATTCAGTATCGTTCCTTGTGTACAATAGAAGATTTATCTTAGAGGCTACTGCTATTTCACTGTTAAGCAGAGCCTTTCAAAGGGGAGGTTTGATTTTAATTTTAGATGAACTGGGAAGTTCCTCATTTTTACCACAGATTTCTCAGTATTGTTGAAAAAACATCTAATTTCAGAGATTTTGCTACTTGTTTCTTACAAGGTTTTTGACATGGGTGGCCTTGCAGTAAAGTTGGGATGCAGGACATCATCTTTAACGTCTTCAGTCCCTCTCAGAAATCCTTAGCTGAACTAATTTTTTGCATATTTTTTTTCCTTAGTCTGGATAGCTCTGTACTTCCAAATCAAAAACTGTTGATTCGTATGAAGTAGGATTTCCAGTTTGACAGTCAGACACTACTTTGAGTAATGGAGAGCAGTGCATCAGCAGAAAAGATAATTTTAAGGATTACCATAGTCTAGCAGCACTGGATTTCTAAGGTGGTAGCAGCAGCAGTGAATCCTTCCAAGATGCTAGGAGAGACATCATCCCTTTTTCTTCCTCACCACCCCAAGCAAAAAGCATTTTCTCTCTTTCTCATTTCGTGTCTCCCACAAGGATCTGAGATACCATGTTTTTCTAACTGTTGGGAGAGTTTACTGGGATAGTTTTGCTTTAGTTCTATTTCGGTGACTCAAGGATGCTCCCAAGACCAAATGTTCCCTACAGTTGTACACACTAAGCTCCCTCTCTAATCGTTGGTACAGGCTGCATTTGAAGTGTTGATAACATTGAATGAGTCCTTGTATGTTAAATTGTCAACATCCTTATCTCTGCTCTACACAGACAGCATTTTCCATGGAAATGAAGAAACTTTCTACTGTAGGTCTCAGACCAGCTTGGACAGGTGTCCAGTGGACTTCAGCTACTTGAATGGTAATGGACCCAATGGGAGTGTATGCAGTGCGCACAGCATGAACTCCCTCAATCGCTCACAGAACTTCATCCAGGCGTCCCCAATGTCCTCAAATCTGAGCATCCCTGGAAGTGACATCATGAGAGCAGACTACATCCCCAGCCACAGACATAGTGCAATCATAGTGCCATCCTACAGGCCAACTCCGGATTACGAAACTGTCATGAGGCAAATGAAGAGGGGGGTGATCCAGATGGATAGCCAAAGTCAGTCTTTGAGAAATCTCAACATTGGAAACACACATGCTTACAACCAGCCAGAAGACCTAGTTTACAGTCAGCCTGAGATTCGAGAGAGGCATCCTTACACAGTTACTTACGGGCCCCAGGGTGGAGGCTATAACAAGCCTGTCGCCCCGTCTGACCAAATGACCCCTAATAACGCTGTGCAAAATAAAACAGCAGCCAGTGCCATATCACACACGGTCAGCACGCCAGAACTGGCTAACATGCAGCTACAGAGCAGCCAGAATTACAACACTGCTCATATGTTAAAGAATTATCTCTTCAGGCCCCCGCCTCCCTACCCGCGCCCACGTCCCGCCACTAGTACACCTGACCTGGCAAGCCACCGGCACAAGTACGTCAGCGGGAGCAGTCCCGACCTGGTCACACGCAAAGTCCAGCTCTCAGTGAAGACTTTCCAAGAGGACAGCTCGCCAGTTGTCCGGCAGTCACTGCAGGAGGTCAGCGAGCCCCTCATGGCGGTGAAGCATCACGCAGCTGTGAACAAGCGCCACAGCTTGGAGGTCATCAGCAATATGGTACGTGGTATAGAAGCCATGGCACTAAAAACTTTAAATGCCCCTCTGCCGCGCAGGAACACTTTGCGGGAGCAGGTGCAGCCTGAAGAGTCGGTGCAGATGGGGCACGAAGTTCAGCAGGTTCCTCATTACCATCACAAAAAGACATTCTCTGATGCCACGATGCTGATACACAGCAGCGAAAGCGAAGAGGAAGAAGAAACCACAGAATCTGTGTCACAGATAACAGCCCTCCATGAGAACATGGAGTACAGTGCTCAGCTGCAAGCTGCCTTGGCTAGAATACCAAACAAACCTCCTCCAGAATACCCTGGGCCTCGTAAAAGTGTCAGCAATGGAGCCCTGAGGCAGGACCATGTTAGCATTTCTGTGGCCGTAGCCAGGGCCAAGGCCATGAGGCCAGGGCCTTCCAAGGCCATTAGTGTGTCTCGGACTGATCAAGTGGCAATAAATGGGTCTTCGCTTGGGCCCTCTATTTCAGAGCCTGACCTCACGAGTGTGAAGGAGAGGGTCAAGAAAGAACCTGTCAAAGAAAGGCCTGTGTCTGAAATGTTTTCTATTGAGGACAGCATTATAGAGAGAGAAATCATGATGAGGGTAAGTGCTTTCCTTTGTTGCTAGGGCTTCTTGAAAACCAGTGATCATACTGCTTACATCCAAAAAAGCTGTTGGATCAGTAAACTATAGGGACCATGTAGCTGGTTGACTATGGGGACCTGGTAAACTATGTAAACTAAATGCTGACCACAGAGAGTGGCAGGGCACACAGCTGGGCAATGAGGAGGTGCTCAAGTGTGAGAAATAGTCCTTTTGAACAGGCAGTTAATTTAGAATAAAAAGTGTGTATATAAAGACTTAAGTGCCACTGCATGCAGTGGGAGAAAAGAGGGGTGCTTAAATTTCAGTGACTTTGTGGACTTGATACTACATTCTGGGAAGTGCAATTGCAGTCACAGAAAGCAAGGTGATTCAATTTTTCAGAAACAGGGCCATAAACAATTCCCAAAACAAATTAATGAAGCATCCAAATGGAGCAGGAAAGAGTTTAGAATATGCTAGATTAATAACTAGTTAAGATTTACATATTACTACTGTATATTCAAAGAAATTTTCTAAATTTATGTATAATGCTTCTTACTCATTAGTGATTCTTACATTGATGTAATGGTTAGGAATTAAACTTGGGCCTCTACATTGTGTCATGCAAACTGAGTTTACTCCATACAGAGTCTTAAACATTAAATATAAAACAGATACCTGAGTATAAAACAACATTTCATGAATGAATACTACAGACGCTGGCATAACACGTGTATATAGGCTCTTTTGACCTTCTGGGGAAATAAAACATATTGAGAAGCAGGAACGCAGTGGGTATTTGGATACAAATGAAGGTGAGAAGAGAGCTTAGAGGTTGTGTTTGAGAGCTTCTTTGAATAATCATGCTGATTAGCCTTTGGTCAAGAGGTATTTTTGTTGATTTCATGTTTGAAGTAAAAGGGTGGTCTTAGTGTTAAGCTTTTAAGGTGGTTTTAGCCCAGCACAGGTGTCCAAAGGCATGCAAACCTTCTCTTCTTATAGGAATCACATATTACATTAATGCTGGTTTGAAGACCTTAATCTTTTAAACACAGGCATTTTTATCTAGCTTGTAAATATTAATAAATAAAAAATCCCCAAATAAAGGAAAAATCCTTGCATTTTCCTCCTTCCAGGAAGTCTAGTAAGAAAAGAGAGCAGTGTTTTGGGATTTTGTTTTGCCTTTTTGTCTTTATTTAGCGCTCTGGAGGAAACCAGTGGTGGTGAAGTCATGCCATTTACATATGTCTGAGGGTATTCAGGTTCAGCAGTGTGTTTCCACACTAAACTTGGCCCGTGTGGTGACCACAGCTTTCGTATGCATGCTGAGAACCCGGCTTCCTCGTGCTCGTGTCTCCGTCCAAGTCTGACAGGAAGAACTGTTAAGGAAATGCAGTAAAATATTCCTGCTTGGACTCCTTCTGGAGGTTGTCTGTCTTCTTTCTCAATGTTTCAGCTCCCAGTGGCAGCAGGATGAATTTAAAATTCATACTTGGGTTCTCCATGCTGCAGCATAATACGATGCATGAATATGTTAAACAATAACCCTCCCTGTCTGCTGGTGCATTGTTTCAAGGATTTGTGAGCTCAATTTTTAGTGCAGAATATATCACGGGTGCTATTTGAATCGCCATAATAACTGAGTGCATCAGAAGACTTCTCATTTTCTGTATTAACATCACAGAAGAGAAGAAACTATCCTGTGTTTTTCTGTTTGTTGTAATAGATTGAAATTATTTCTTTTTAAAAGATGCCCCAGGTATCTTGGCTACAGCAGAGCTACTTTAACGTAACAGGGTGATGCGTTTTGTGTCCTACATTCAGAATAATGTTTGCAGAAAAATGCTCAAGATTGTGTTTGTATGTCTTTTGATGGCATGTAAACTGCATTATATGCTGGGATTGCTTCTTTGAAATTAAAATTCTCTGCTCATGTAGGAGCAGGCCTTTGAGGAATAACAGGAAGAATAGAGGTTGTATTTGAATTTACGATGCTAATGGTGATCATCTGCATTCCTTGGCCAGAGAGTTGCAGATTTTGGAGATTAAAAAAACATTCCAGCATTTTACTGGCATTATAAATAATCACACAGAGATGAAAACGTGCCTTTTCTTGCCAAAAGAATCTAGAAAAGCAGAAGATGGCAGGCCTGGAGGCCCAGAAGAGGCCCTTGATGTTGGCAGCACTGAACGGACTCTCAGTTGCTAGGGTTCCAGTGCCGGAGGATAGCCAGGATGAAGCATCCAAGATGCCAATGGACGAGAGGGTAAGATGGAGGCTCATGAAATGTTGTTTGTTCCCTTTGTTCCCAGCAGCACAAAGTTTCTAAAAATATTAAAATTTGATTTAAAATACAAAACAATTTCTCATAACTGTTTTCAGAGCAATTAATGTCAAAAGATCTGCAGTTACCACTGGTGCATCTCCAGATGCTAGGTGTTAAATATCTTCAGTGCTTACTGAAGTTGGTGGAAGTTTTTGAGGCTGTTTATCATTTCACATGACCAATCAATGTCGTATAAAATCAAGTTGTAAATCTAATCTTTTGCACATTTTTTACTTGATCTTTTTATCATCCTTGCAATCTCCATGCTCTGATACAGCTAACAAGTTCAGTTAATATCTCTAACAGAATTAAAAAAAAAAAAAAAAAAAAGTCGTCTGTCTCCTAATATTTGCACATGCGGGTGTGTTCATGTAAATGGAATTTTGGAAATTAAAAATGGTTGCTGCTGCTAGGATTTGAGAGACATTTGCTAAGAATCTTTCTTTCTGGCTTTCTGAGGAGAATTTTGCAGCCCTATCTTGTTGCCTGGCATGCAGACGACAGAACTTAACCTCAGTTTGCATGTATGCAGGATTTTGTTCAACCACAGAAACTGCATACATGCGAGTTATGCAGTATTTTGAAAATGTGGATTGCATCCACATTTTTGGTGTGATCTACTTCATAAAAAGATTAATTTGCAATATTTTCACAAATATCTACTGTGGGGAGATAGCGTACAAATTCATACTGAACGGTATTGTATTTAGCATGTTTTTCCTTTTTTATGGTACTGGCCTTAAAAATATGGAGGTGCAATAAAAAATGTAAAACTTGCTTGTGGTTTTATTTGGTAGAAATAGAGAAAGTTGTGTTTACTCAGATAAATGTGACTGGAAAAAAAAAAGTGAGAGAATACTGTTTTGTATTTTTGAAAGAGATTCAGAGATCTGATAAACAGGTCTAGTAGTACATCTTATTCCAGGAAGAGTTAACTGATTGATGTTACTTTCTGTTAAATCAAAGTGCAAGAACCTGAAGAGGAAGCTGGAAGAGGGGATGGTGTTTACAGAATATGAGCAGATTCCAAAGAAGAAGGCAGACGGGATCTTCACCACTGCTGCCTTGCCTGAAAACACGGAGCGCAACCGCATCAGGGAGGTCGTCCCTTATGAGGAGAACCGAGTAGAGCTGGTGCCAACCAAAGAAAATAACACAGGCTACATCAATGCTTCACACATAAAGGTAAAAGCTTTCTTAGGCTTTGTATTGCAAATTAAGGTATGTTGGAACTTTGTTTCTGGATGTACAGCAGCATTTTCCATAGTTCTGGAACTTAAAAATGTAACTTGGTCAAAACAGGGTGCGTCATTGTACCTTCATGTCAACACAGGCATCTGTAAAGTCCCATATCAATTAACATGCATGAGTTGATTAATTTGCTAGAGACTTGGAATTCATTTTAGAGAGGCATCTTTATGTTCATCTCTGCCAACTTGGGGAATGTCTCTGTTGGCTAATGTAGAAAGAGATGCTGCATTTCTTAACACTCATGAAAATGTGTTAGATCTGCCTCACTACCTGCAATGTATATAGTTGTCAGGAATGTGTACTTGAAAGAAAAAGCAGCAAAGTACAGAGCAAGGGGATGTTACTGTCAGAGGGGAGTACATTCAGAGTTTCCAGGAGTGGAAGTCTTCAAGAAAGAAAAAGCTGCAGGCAAACTGTGTATTCAGTCTGTACATGTTCTGACCGATCGGTCCCAATAACCTTGCAGGCCACAGCAACCCCTTTCTTTCCTAGATAGAAAGGGTTCCTGCAACAGACGAGGACAGCCCAGAAGTAATGCTTTACTAACTTTGACTGAAATATTTTTTTTGTTTACTAGCACATAGGTTATTATTTTTAAAAAATCAGGCATGTACATGTAGTTTCATATGCATAGCTCCATGTCCAAAGGAAACATATGCAGTTACGAGTAATCCATATCCACATAGATATTACAATTGTGTAGATCAGTAATTGATTTCTGCCTCTTTCATTGTGAGTTGAATTTTTTATATGTGTGTGTGTGTGTGTGTGTATGTATGTATAATATATATATATATACATAAGTTTGCAGTGATAGAGAGCACTTCATTAAAGAACTTCCCTATGTTTCTGCTAGGGTACTACATTAGATTTCTATGTTTCAAAGTAAGATGTTGTCAAGATAATTCAGATTTCTTCCTGTTAATTCAATGTGGAAATAATTTAAGCCATTATATGACTTACTTATGAACATGACCAGTTTTAAGCGAACTGTCTTGCAGTGGCTGCAGATGCTTGGTTTTTCTTTACAAATAGTTATTGGAAGCTTAAAAATTTTTTGCTGTTTTTTGCTCTATCCTGTGAGAACTAACAGCACCCCTCTCCCTCAGATGATGGATTCTCTTGTTGTTGGGGGGGCTGTCTGCTCTATTTCCTTGTCAAAATCCAAATTATAAAGAAATAACTCAAAAATAATAAATAAAGCATCCTGTTAAATTGATATTTTACTGGGGTAAAAGCCCTTTAAAAGTTTAAAGAGAATTGCTGGCCTCTTTGGTTGTGATTTACAGTGCTAAATTGTGTTGATTCAAAACAATTTCTGAACCAGGATCCTGGCTGGCTATCACTTCTCTGCCATAGCCTGGGAGGTAGCAGATACTGAGTTTTTGCATAATCAGGCATTGCTGTGATGATGGATTTCTGAGCCCAAAATGTTTCTCATACTTTGTGGGAGGACGAAAAAAGAGATTGCTAACATAAATTATGCCCACAAGCCAGTACTAGCCAGAAAAAGAATTTTCCCTGGCCAGTTCTGAGTCTGCATTTCACCTTGTGTGTCAGTGTTGGACACGCACTCGGTTCACATTCACAGAGCACCCAGGAACACGCACAAATATTTTAGCGCATGACAGCGGTCCTTGCCAGTATTTTTCTCTTGCACTCCAAGTGGCGCTTACTGAAGCCAAGCAGATGTTCTTTTGCTTAGAAGGTGAAATTGCATCTGCGAAATTTACCTCGGTGTCACAGCGTGTGTGTGTTTGCAGCCCAATATTCAATTTTTAATATCCTGCAGTCAGGGCATTAGAATGCAGCAAACATTCCAGGCATCGCATTCCCTCCAGACTATTTATGGGCCTTTCATTTCGTGTGCCAGGAGGCTGGATATTTGGACCAGAAGTCAGGAGACAAAGAAAACTCCTATATCATCCTGATAAGATCCATGCCTGGAAGATTCCAGCTCCCACTGCTCAGTCTGTGAGCCCTACAGTTCTTCAGTGTTTATCTGCTTATTTACCATTGACCTGTGCTGCTAAGACACGGAGATCATTGCCTACACCAAAGATGCAAATCATAATTAATTTTTTGGATTAAGTAAAAAGTTCTTAAGACTGCTTCATCATATTGTTTGGGTCAGGCCAGTACTCACTGAAAGGCCTCAGTAATTCTATACCAATGCTCGTGGCTGTGGACCAAAAGGCAAGTACAAGAGCAGAGCAAGTTGCAGATTAGTGCTGTACTGTCTGTGTTTCCACCTAGTACAAGAACGTGAGGGATTTGCCTGCATTGGCCTTGCAGCTTTTAACTGTCAGTCACAAAGGAGACTGATGCGTAGTATGAAATAAGAAAATGAGCTAGGTGTACAGGACTGAAAATTGTTTCCAGTGCAGTGAGAAATTTGTTACCATACAAACACTATGTTAGCTGTAGGTGTAAAAACCCAAGCAATTCAGCTTCATGAGCAGCTGTTCAAATAACAAATTTGATTCCATTTCTGAAAACGTATTCAAAGACGTGTACCTCAAATATAGTATATGCTTAAACCTGTCAGAGTTATTGATTTCTCCTTGTAGCATTGTCCGCCAGCACCTTGATATTTATGGACGTGTCAGCACTTCAGTTGTAAATCTCTTTCTCTGGGATTTATAACTCTGTTGTGAGAAGTGGCTCTGGGCTGACATGTAGAATTAGAAGGTCTTAGTCTGTGAAGGAAAAATGTTCAAACTTTTTCAAAATAATTAGTTCAGCTGTCTGTTTTTTGTCTGCTTTGTTATTTTTTTTCTTACTGTTAAGGACATTTAAACATGAGATCTAGTAACTCTAAGAGTGGTTTGGCTCTTGACCTAAGTCTTTGCTTTAAAAAAAAAAAAAGTTTGTATAAACTTTACCTGATGTATAGAAAATAATCAGTGATAATATTTTTTTACACACACGAGTGATTTCTGTGCTTTAAAATGATTTAATTAGTCATGTAGAAAAATAGTGATATAGGATGTGGTTGCTAATCCAGTTACATATTGGGAAACAGACTTACATGACTCCAGCTTTAGATAATTTTAAATCTCACATGGCATTTGAAACCCATTTAGTGTGCTGGATTTACTATATAAGTAGATGGCAGATTCTAAACTGAAAAACCCGATGAGCAAGGAATAGAAACTTGAAACGGTGCCTGTCTTGATCTAATCCCTAGCTGGGCCTCTGTATTTTGTGTTACGTACAGTGTGTGGGCATAACTGCATCAACTTTGGGCTTTGGCCACATCTTCAACAGTCATCGGTGCAGTAAGAGTCTATTAAAGAAAGCATTTTTTCCCTGACTGGAAAACTGTTGAGAGAGGCCTTAAATAGTTGGAGACCTTTAGTTTTCCTAGTGCAAAATGCCATTTGCATTCAGGCTTTCTACACTACTATGAGTTAATTTGCATCAATGCAATGCCTTTAAATGAGTATAGATGCTTCCTCTGGTGCTCGGTTCTTTTTTTGTCATGGGTTTGTCACAAAGCCCAGGGCAGTCAGTCAGCTGTTTATTTGTACTTAAGGCATCTCACAAACAGGGCCTTAATATTTTTTTTTCATCTGTATGATCTAGATGCAATAGCAAGAAGAATGGGTGACATTTTGCTCAAAGCTTTGTTTATGGGCATCAAAAAAGGACTTGGAAATACCAAAGATGGTGTTTTGTCGGATTTGCTCTTACCAAAAGGATGGTTCATGTTCAAAAATTTTAATCAACAGTGGAAGAACAAAGTAGTAAAGGTTTCATCGTGGTCTCTTTTGTTTAAAGGACAGTTCTGGCACAAACATAACTGAGATCTTGGGCACTGACTATATTTTATTTTTATTTTTTTTTACTTCCAGGTTACTGTAGGTGGAGAAGAGTGGCACTACATTGCTACCCAAGGACCTCTGCCACACACGTGCCATGACTTCTGGCAGATGGTGTGGGAACAGGGGGTGAATGTTATAGCCATGGTCACAGCTGAAGAGGTATGTAAAATCACGGAGCACAGTTCGTTCTGATGTGAGTGAATCTCCTGTTATCGTCAGTTCCCACTCCAGTAACCTGTTTTTCTGTCGACAGCCCTTTTTCCTCTCATTCTCTTTGATGAGCATATGCCTGTAGTGCTATAATGCTATATTTTGTAACTCTCTAATATTCAGTTTGGCAAGTACTGAAGTGAAGCAACCAGAACAGCCCCTTCCCCCTGCTTCACTCCACTTTGGCCAAGCAAAACAAAGATGTTTCCATTGGAATGTGAGAGTGCTGAACTGCTCCTGGTTAAAATGACACAGACTTCCACCCTGTCCAAGGCCAGTCCTGCATACCGTCGCTCTTATCAGCTGAAAAGAGACCAGAAGCTGCTGTTTCCGTAGAAGTGTCCGTGTAAAAAATAAATAACATCTTTTTATTCTTATGCCAAGCAAAACAGCTATTTCTGTTGTAATCCAAGAACTATGTGCTTGGATTTCTTTATGTTATAAATTCTGACACACGTTGCTAACTAACTCTTCATTGAGCTTTATGCCTGGTTGCTTTTAACAAGCACAGGGGAGTCCCATACTACATCAAGTCACTGTCCAGTTCCCAGGGCTGATGAACAACAGATACTTAGAAGTTACTGTAGGGAATCTCTTTCAAGTGAAAGGAAGGACATACCCAGGAGAAGAATATTTCCTGGGATGCTGTAAGCAGTAGCTGGCTTTTGCCTTGAGACAAGAGTTTGTTCTTCACATGTTTCTAATATGTCTGATCTACCTATGTAAACATTTTCTAAGTGTAAAAACTGGGAATAAGAAATATGTTACTGAGAATTTTAACGGATACTTTCTTTACTTCATGGGATGCTCCTTGCTCTTCCAGTAGTTTGAAATGTGAAAACTTGGCCTATCTGAAGAGTTTTATGCTCTCTGTTTGTAGAGAATTATAGCTACAGCAGCTAACTACCAATTTTTCTTTTATTTCTATGTAATTAAGGAGGGAGGAAGAAGTAAGAGTCATCGTTACTGGCCTAAACTGGGCTCTAAGCACAGCTCAGCCACTTACGGGAAGTTCAAGGTGACAACTAAGTTCCGCACAGACTCCGGCTGCTACGCGACCACTGGTCTGAAGGTCAAGCATCTTCTCTCTGGGCAGGAGAGGACAGTGTGGCATTTGCAGTATACTGACTGGCCAGACCATGGTTGTCCAGAAGAAGTCCAAGGGTTTTTATGTAAGAATTCTTTAACTTGCATGATAAAAGACATCAAACAAAAGGTTGCTTGCACTGGATTCAGCTCACTGCACCTGGTTAGAGCTGAGACTGATAGCAAATATTTATTGCTTCAGCAAACAGAGGGCTTAACTAGGTCAGATGTTACTGTGATTTGGAGAAAGAAGTAGGATTGAAGAGGTAGGAGCTGAGGTGGTTGAGGATCTTGGTCCTGACATAACAGGAGGAAAAAACAGAGTCAGCAACAGTGTTGTTTTGATCTGTTAATGGTAAGAATTGCTGTAAGTAATGTCTGGAATCATCTGTTTAGGAGACCTGGAGATTTGCAGAGGTGAAAATGGAATTTAATTTTTAAAAGGTGCAGTTTAATGTAAAGGAGCAGACTCCCAAGTAGTAATTGACAACCAGCTGGTACTTGCTGGATTCAGGACTGTTCAGTACACCCTGGCCAAAAAAATTAGTATGTTGTAAAAAATGTAAATTCTTGCCATTTTGACAAAGAATGACTTTTTTTTTTCCAAATTTTTACATTTAGACCTATAGATGTTTGCAACTTTGTGTTTTACCCTGCAGCTTACTTGGAGGAGATACAGTCGGTGCGTCGCCATACCAACAGCGTGCTGGACAGCAGCAACAACTGCAACCCTCCCATCGTGGTTCACTGCAGCGCGGGGGTGGGAAGGACCGGTGTGGTTATCCTAACAGAACTGATGATCGGGTGCTTGGAGCACAATGAAGTAAGCAAGCTTCTTTTTCTCAGTGCAAACCCTGAGCTGATTCCTTGACTGACTAGCTGCCTTTCTGAGGTTAAACTTAAAGGGTATTGGAATGCTTCCTTTCTAGTACTTTTGTGAAACAAGGGCCTCAATCTAACCTGCAGAGATTGACCATTGTAGAAAGTACTTCTGGTTTGCTGTTGGGTTGATGTTACACATTTTTTGTTGATGTTATTTTAATACATTAAAAAAGGCTTTTTTTATGTCTAATTCATACCTGTATTTAATTAACAGTCTAGATAAAGACAGTGTGTTCACAAGACAGTCTGAAGTATAATGCCAGCACCCATGCTCTTCTAACTAATGCTTCCTGCTGTATAAATTCACTCTTTGGACTCCTTCATTTCCCTCATATTGTCTCTAATCTCATGTGGAACAAAACTTGGCGTTACCTTGAGGAAAAGGTGTATGTGTTGGGAACAGATCTTTAAGAGTAACAGCTGATATAAAACTAGTAATGTCGTCTGAGGCAATGTTAAGAATAAGAGCACTGGGAGAGTAACCGTGTGTAGGTACTTGCTTTTCAACTGTCTTTTGTCATTGGAGGCCTGTCCAGGAAAAACACTACATCTTGAATAACAACATGCCATGCAGTTTCAACATATGGAAAACAGCTATTGAAACGAGGGATTTCTATTGCCAGAGGAACTGCTCAGAGACCAAAACCTCTTGTAGAGCAAGAATACAGCACGGGTGACACACTGGCACTCACCTGCCCTTCCCAGTAATCATCCATTAGATGAGCTGCTTGAAGACTGTATGTGCAGGCCCGAAATGCTCACCGACCTTCTGTGTTACCATGCAGTTATAGATCGGAGCCTTCCTGTGCAGAGTGCCATGTGAAGAGCTCCTGGCTCGTTCCAAAATCAAATCCTAAAGGAGACAAGTTGGTACTTCATTGCTATTTTTTTTTTTTTGAAAAGTTGCACTTTCGTGTTCACTATTTAAAAAAAAAAAAAAGTCATGCAAGCCTTACAGCAGCTGCTGTTTAATAACTGCTCCTGTGTGAGGCAGTGGTTCTGATTATTTGAGACCACTTGACTTACTTCCATTGGCACTGAGGTCTGGAACTGACTACTTCTGTTGTGCACACAGCAGCAATGAAACCTCTGCTGCGCCCCAGAAGAAATCTGGATGGTTTTAAGAGCCAGGCCTGAACTGTGAACAAGTTTAGCTGGGTCAGCTTTACGGTAACCTCTGGATGCTAATGGTGTGCCAGGAACACATGCTTAACAGTTGTGCAACACGTTTTGGCCACCTGAGTTTGTCTGCGGTTTACAGAAGTCACCTCTTTGGACAGGAGTAGCCAAATAGCAAGTGAAGATAAAGGAGGTACCTCGACTTCTGAGCATGGGGGTGAGCCTTGATGTTCAGAAGAATTTCCATCAGCTTCAGTAGGAGCGGATGGTAGCGCTCAATAATAAGGGATTTCTCTGATGTCTCTTAATTAAAGCATTCTTTTGTCTTGATTAATGGTGGAAATCATCAGTAATATTAAAGACAATTTGCCTTAAGGCTTTGTTGCTCTAGATCGTACTAAGTTAATATTTTTGGTTTGTTAAAACCTAATTAAAAAAAAAAATCTTATTATTTCATTATTCGTTAAGCAGTATGGCTTCAGCTTGCGACAGATACTGCATTCTGGACAGAGGCTTCCTTTTCACACAGCAATTTTACTGGATTTATTTTGAAGTAGATTTGATTATTTTTTTCTGAAATCAAATGGCTTATTACTTAAAAAGCTTAAGTCTTATGAATTGGTTGATTTGTTCAGAAGCGTCCTAGTAAGGAGACACATTAATGTTAACGTTTTAGTCAAGAAGAAAAAAGGAGAAAGAAGTTGAAAATCCCCATACAGACCATTTTGGAACGTCTAAAGCAATGCTCAAACCCAGTCTGATTTCTGAGTGTTCAGGTTTAGTTGAAAAGACATTTTTGGTCAACTGCTGTACAACTTCAGTCACTGTGACTTGTGGGCACTTGCTGTTTGAGTCTGAAGCTGTGTATCTCATTGCAGGGATAGATTTTCAGTAGCTTGCCATACGGTAAGAAATACAGTAAGTCCCATCATTACATCCTTACTTCTCTAGTTTAATTCTCTAGCTTAATTCTCTAGTTTAGTAATTACATTCTTAATTCTCTAGAAGAAAGTAATTGAGTTTTTTGTGTTCTACTGACTTCTAGTTCAGACTTGGCACTGGGACATGAACTCGTGATCACACTTCCAAGTGCATCTTCATAAGGAGATTTTTTTTTTTTTTTTTGTGAATGCCACCTCAGCAAAGCATTACCTGTCTTTGGTTGACACGTGTTCTGGTGAAGGTGAATTTAAAGGTTCTGCTTGCCTGAAGTAAGATGCGAAGGTGAATACAAATAGTGAGGTCAAATAGGCAGGACGGGCTTTTCTTTTGTTTCCGAGAGAAAAGGAAGCCTCATCGGTTACAGGGAGGCGCGTGGAGTCACTGATCACGGTGTGCTGCAGGCCAAGTAAAAATCAGCAAACTGTCAAACACCGAACCACTGAGATGGTGATGTGGTTGTGCAGGTCGAAGCTGGTCTGTGTCTTTGTTGTAGTTACTCAGCTGAGATCGAGTTCTGCGTGACTTTGCTCAGCAAGGACCGAATGGCTTTCGTAAGCTTCTGATTCCACAGGGAGGCTTTCTCTAAGTTTGCAAGTGAAAAGAGCTTATGTTTGCCTTTGTACCCGCTGAAAATAATATGACATTACTCATCCCAGCTTACAAATCTTTATGCTTGTTGACTCTCTAGAGCTGTTCTTCTGTAACAGATTGTTTGGGGATGTGGCAGAATATTTAACCTCGCTTTCAGAAAGTGACAGTGTATGAGTTTGGGCTTGTTTACAAAGAATGGAGATTCTGAGCTTTATACAAGTGGACAGAAATGGATATGCAGCGTGATTTTTATTTTAAACTTTCCAGAAATTTTCTACTGTGCATGCAAGCAGAGTCCATGCTCAGTTTCACCTCCAGTGGCTAGCAGAAATCTTGATACATTTCTTTGTCCTTTTTGCCCAGGCATTGTACTTGTAACACTCTTCATTGCAGCCAGAAGGCTTGCCAAGCTCCTTTGTGTGTCTCTTTGCAAGCTGGCAATGCAAATTGCGCATTGTGTAGCCTAATAGAGTAACTGTTCCTCAGTTTCTGTCTTGCACCACTTAAGGACTTCCCTCAACAGGAGCATGTATCCCAGCGCTTGCATCTAGTGCTGCAGTAGAAAACAGAAAATCCCCCATCTTGGGTCAAGCTGCATACACGTTCTTTGAATTTGAGCCTGGCAGGCTGAGCTTCATGGCTGGGGGAGGTCAGGTGTTGGGGTTTCTGGATCTTTTGGTGACAGTCGGTTTCCTTCTCTTAGTGGAAGGGTCAGTTGTTTGCCTGCGCTTTAATTTTGTCTGAGGAACCTTTTGTTCTAGAGATCCTAATGCCTGCTTGCCATTTGAAAAATCTCTCAGATCCTCCCTCTGTGAATGAGTCTCACCAGGGATCAGAGCCACGTGCACTGAGTGATGGAGCCTGGACTTAACTGTATAATCTTAAATGTTCAGTTTTTGCCTTAGACCTTCCTGATATATCTAGCCTTTAGCCCGAGATAATACAATATACTGGGTTTATTCTGTTTAGTTGAAAACAGGCATATGGAACCAGAAACTTTCAAAGAGAAGAGATCATTTATTATGAGTCCCTACCTGTAGTTCTGTGTTCAGCGCTGGGGCCCCCAGCAGAAGTGGGACATGGATATATCAGAATGAGTCCAGAGGAGGGCCGTGAGGCTGATCAAGGAGCTGGAGCACATCTGCTATGAAGACAGGCTGAGGGAGTTGGGGTTGTTCAGCCTGGAGAAGAGAAGGCTCTGGGGAGACCTTACAGGGGCCTTCCAGTACCTAAAGGGGGCTACAGGAAAGCTGGGGAGGGACTCTGTCAGGGGGTGGAGTGATAGGACAAGGGGCTTTAAACTAAAAGAGGGAAGATTTAGATAAGATAATAAGGAAGTTCTTCAGTATGAGGGAGGTGAGGCACTGGCACAGGCTGCCCAGAGGAGCTGTGGATGCCCCATCCCTGGAGGTGCTCAAGGCCAGGCTGGATGCAGCTTTGGGCAGCCTGGGCTTGTGGGAGGTGTCCCTGCGCATGGCAGGGGCTTGGAACTGGATGGGCTTTAAGGTCCCTTCCAACCCAAACCATTCTGGGATCCTATGTTCAAAAGTTGTTGGGGGGGGGGGGGGGGGGAAGGCAATATTTCACTACAGTTGGTTAAAATTCATTTCATTGTATAAGAGTTTTGTGTCAGACAACTGAACTTTGAGGCAATGATTGTTTGACCTGATAAGCCTACATCCTTATGCCTTTTCTCCTTTACTTTACAGAAAGTGGACGTCCCTGTGATGCTGAGACACCTGCGGGAGCAGAGAATGTTTATGATCCAGACCATAGCCCAGTACAAATTTGTCTATCAAGTGCTCATCCAGTTCCTGCAAAACTCCAGACTTATTTAATCTCTTTAAACATCCCAGACCCATCTCTGTGGATCTGACTGAACCATACCTACGAACAAGGGGAACTGCCTTGACAACACTGTGTGCATCTATTGCACTTTTTAAAGTTGTCTTGAAAGTAAGGAATGTATGTTCTTTACTATAGTGTCCCGTGGATTATTTTATAGAAGATATAATTTATTTTTCTTAGAATAATTTGTGAATTACTTTAATAACTTGTAAAACTTATAGTGAGCTTTGAATTGAACTATATTTGACATGACTGGTCTGCATTGTAACATGTCCATAGGGAAAGCAATCCTTCATAAAGCTGAAACACTGGCTTTTATTTTACTACATAGTTTCTGAAATGAACAGTTATTTGGCAGTGGGCTTTTTCTCACATGAGAACATTCTGACCCAGATAAGTGGCTTCTACGATTTAAAAAAAAAAATAATAATTGCTAGGATGTCAGCTACAGTTCTGTATGAGAGGAAGCTGAGAACGCACAGTCCTGGGACAGGGAGACCTGAGCATATGCAGCAGGGCACATTATAGAGGGCTCAAACACAGGCTGTTGTGAAGGCAGAGAGTTTGGGTGCTAAACTGTTCAAATTCCATGAGAATTAAGCTTTTAGATTAGTCCTTGAAAAAAGCAATATTGGATCTTTTAAACAAAGCCTTTGCTATTGTCTGCAGTCCTTGGAGGGATTCTTAAGAGTTGAAGCAGTGTTAGAAAAGTGACCCAGAGCACTGTGTGGTCAGTGAATGAGTCTTTCCTGTGGGTTGAACAGCAGAGCAATTTCAACTAAATGCAGCTTAAAAAAAAAAAAAAGAATTTTAAAAATTAAATGAAGCATCTCCTCATGAACTGCACAGGAAGTTTTATTTCCTAGAGGCTAACCTTGTGTAGGGTAGAACAGGAACCCCATACAAGTTGGACGTCTCCTGTCACCTGTCTTAGTTTCCTGTGTCTTCACTGCTGTAGTCATTTTATTTTCTGGTTCTTTGAACTTAGCCAAAATGATCAGTGTGGTCTTTACTCTGTAGCTGCGTTCTCCTAGCAGTGATCCGTGAGGGCTTTAGCTTACAGCCTTTCTTGATTCTTCCCCCATCACTGTCTTGTGGTTTATGAGCATACCAAGCAGTCTTCCTTTTGGTATTGGCAGCCCTCGCTTTGTTAGGGTGTTCTCTGTATTAAATTGCACATACCAGCTCTCTTAGGCTGCTGTTTCCATGTCTGGTCACTTTGGGTTCTCCCTCCTATTTATTATAACTGTTTTATTCTGGCAGTTTTCAGGGATTCCAGTTAGGATTAGAAATCTGTTCTGCCAGACGCTGTATAAATACATAATGGAGAAACAGTCCTTGCCTGACGTTTACAATCGGAACAGAAAAGGGAAACAAACCTCCTCCACTTCGTAACGGGATTAACAGATTCTTAAGTGGTTTGCCTTAGTCCAAAAATGAAATCTGTGGCAGAGCTAAGAACAAGCCCATGTGTCCTGCAAGTATTTCAGCAGTTGGACCTGTCCTCCACACTCTCTTTTTCTGTCCCTCAGTGTTGACCAGAGGCTTTTGCAGAACTTTGTGCACATCCCTTTCTCTAGGCTTTATTTCATTGGAGCAAATCACACGATGAACTACCTTGCAGCGTATGCATGGTAGCATTCACTTACAGTTATTTAGAAGTCATAGAAACTGTATTTAGTGTTGGTTTTTTTTGTTTGTTTGTTTTTGGAAAAAGCTTTAGCAAGTAGTGCTGGGGTTCCCACACTGTTGTTCCCGCTCTGAACCCCTGGCTGCCTGTCCTTATCTGTTCACTCCTCATTTCAGTCTCCTGCACCCAGGATCGCTCTTCTTTTCCAGAACCCCCACACCTTCCATGCATGCTTCATCCTCCTCTGCCTGGGGTTTTGCATCCCCTTAATTCCCCCCTCTGGTTGCTTGGTGCCCTGTCTTCGTATCATCCTACAGCTTGGACAGATAAACAAGCTGGTGTCCTGGTTTTGTCTCCCAACTTCCTACTGCGTTTCTCCTTCCTGGATGAGTCTTCCTGTCTTCTGAGGATACAGCTGCTATGTGGTGGCATTGTGTGAACTGCAGTTATCTGCCTTTCTGCAAAGATCAGCTGCAGCAGCAGGTGGGACAGGTCAAGCCAAGTATTGTTGAAGGCCATGGGACAGCACTTCCCAGCTCCCATATCAGTCAGGTGTGTCCTAAAACCTGCTGTGGAAACGCAGGCTGCAATTTGGAAAGACTGCAGTGCATTTTCTCTTTACGATAGTCAGAATCACTCTGCACGTTTGTGGGCATCTCACACTGAAGCTTTTCTATAATTTCCCTCCTGTTTGGCAACAAAATACCATTTTTTTCTTGTTCTAAATGCATGTGACCAAGCCATAAGTAGCTTTAAGTTGGTACAAAGGCCTACCCTAATGAGCACTCTCTATTTAGGGATCACTAAAGGGACCCACACATCTACCTTTCTGTAAAAGCAGGAGCTTAATCTAAGGCCATGTTCCAGAGAGCTTCCTAAATTCATGTAAAAGCCCACTGTGAGTGTTTTGGTGCCATGCAATAGGGATGTAACGATGGGATGAGAGTCCTGGTGGAGACTTCCAGCAACTAACACATGGTTAAGAGTTATTGAGCTGTAATATCTCAACCATGTTTCCTCTTAGGGATTAGTCGAGTTTTCAGTCAACTTCAGTTTTCCTCTGTTTCCTTCTGCCAATGCCAACATATCTCTTGTTAAATTAGCAGCAACCATTTAAAGTCTTTTCAGCAGCATCTGCATGATAATTGCACAGAGATGCTTTATATCTGGGAAACAAGCCAAGGAATAAACCTTGAAGCGAAGTGTATTAAATTAGTTATCTCGTTATAGCTTTTTGAATAATTTCCTAATGATGAATTAAGTTTGAACTCAGAGCTGTCAAGTCCCATTGCTCCACTTGGATTTGAGAGGTAGAAAATCAGGAGGGGAAATAATCTGTTCCTGTGTCTTGTTATTCAGCTGCTCTTGGCTGAAGCGCATCCTGCTGCTCCCGCAGTCGGGACAGCAAAGTTACTTCATAAAAGAATGTAAATAGCTGTGTTTAAAAGGAAAATTAAGCAAGCACCTTCTATGCAAAGATACATCACGGGTGTCTTAGAAAAATATTAATTACGAAATGGCACTGAAAATCCTTTCCAAATTAAGTCAGTGCCCATTAATGAGCCAAATGAGTGGCCACCTAATAAACAGTCATTTCCAATTAACTCGTAACGTGGCTGGTGTGGTAGATAGAGGCCAACGTGACTCACTTTTTCCCTTTCATTGTCAAAGAATGGTAATTTTAAACTTTTCCTTTCATCTCACTTCAGTGTATTTTTTCCTGCTAGATTTTATCTTGAGTAGATCTGCTAATATCCTGCGTGAATTGGGCTGGAGCATATCTTCGGAGATTCCCTTCCACCCCAGCTCGCAGCCGAACCTCAGCATGCCAATGGGTTGTGATTGAAATGTGATCCACTTCTGTAGGGGAAAATCTGAACCTCCCGACTTTGAACCCGTTGTAGCTTTATCAGTCCTAAACCGCTTGGGCAGCATTTCCTAACCTTTTAGGGAGTGACAGGAAAATGCATATTGTATCCAATTTCGTTAGTCAGAGCAGGAACGAATGCGTGAGGCTTAAAGCAACAGTACTGTTGGCCCACAGACTGGACAGAGGGGTCCTGCAGCAGGAGACATTTTGAGTTTCTGTTGGTTCCATACTTCTTCGCCTCAAAGCATGACCTGACCGTGGGTAGGTTACAAAAGAACAGTCTCATCGGTTTTGAGTGGTTTGGATTGAAAATCTTGCCAAAAAATGTGTCAGTTTCCAAAAAAAAAAAAAAAAAAAAAAAAAGAGAGAGAGAGCTGGAAATGGCCAGTCTTCTCCAGGGTTCCCATGCTGCAGTCTGGCGAGCTCAGCCTACACTCCCCGACTTATTTTCTAAGAACGAAGTTAGAGTGGATGAGTAAGTGTGACTTGGGAATTCATTGCGTGTATTTTCCCTTTCATGTACTTAATCTGTGTTTAGTTTTGCAATTTGACAGCTTTTTTCCCTTAGACCTTTAACAATGGTGGTATTGAGGTTGCTGGCATCAAATCCTTCTTTAAAGTTATGGTCAGAGCATTTCATGCCTAACAATACCTGGATCAAGGATGGGAGAGATGATGGCTGAATTCTGTTGCTACTCCCCAAGTCGGCTCAGGGCTGCAGAGCTCCTCTTCCTGTCCTCTATGGGCTGCACAAAGGATGGTGGAGCTCAGCCTACATTGGCATCTCTGATCCTTGCTCAGCTGAGGTAAGATGAGGTTTGATCCCACAAACCTTCTCCTACTATAGAGGTGTATAGGGACTCCAAATGCTCAGCCCTATTGGAAATAGCTTTTCCCTAAACTACTAAACTAGTGTTTCAGGTGAAGAGACACACCTGTGAGAATTTATTCTACTTATTGCTAATGCAGTCCTTTATAAGAAGTATATTGAAGGACACTTGTTCCGTTTATTTAAATCACTTGCCTCAATTGCAAATATTAAATATTTGCATGATTTCAAGAGCTTTTTTTAATTACTTCTTTCTTGTAAACAGACAAATGCAAATAGAAAACCATAGGTTGGAAAGGAATGAGCAAGTGTCTCTGCTTCTAATAGAGAAGGTTATTTTAAGCCAATACATTATTTTTCATCCAACACTTGCTGTCGCTGTAGCCCAAAAGTGACCCTCAGGTAAATGCTGACAGGCAGTCTCTCACCTGGGTATAGCGCAGACATCTGTGGGGGGAGATGCAGCAGCTACAGACCGTACTGCGTTCACCACAGCTGACTTCCCAGCTCCCTCCTGGGATGAGATGATGACTGAATTAGCTGTCGTCAGTCTTGCTAACCATTTGTGAGCTGCACGCTCAAAAAGCAGGAGCATGAGCTTGGCTGATACCTCATGTAGCAGCTCTTGTACCTCACTGCGAGAGGTTAGATTTTGCTGCTTGTCTTTATGGAAAAGAATGCTTCACACCCAGAAGTCCTGGGTGGTACACATCTCGTGAAATAAGATGTGTCCCCCAGGCTTGCAAGGACTGTGCTTTGAGGAAGGGACAGCTGCTTGCTTGGGCTGTGGGGCCAACAAGAGGAGATGCTTGTGAAACAAAACACTACTGTACAGCTCAAAAATAGCAGTGTTTATATAAATATTTAAAAGTAAATAGATTTTTGTCAGTGTAAGATGATCTAAAAACAGTGAAATTTGCTTGGTTCTTCCCAGCCATTTTTCAGTTGACTTTTTTTTCAGCGTTAATGTTTTGTTGCTTGTGCTTTGTGCCTTCACTGAGCGCTCCCTGCTGCACCAGCAGGACCTGGCCTCAGGAGAGTGATCGCTGGTGGGACAGCAGCTCTCCCTGAAGAAGCCCAGCACTAGTTAGTGGTAATGAGAAGCCTAATGTTTGAGCAGATCCCTGAACTGAATGCAGTGCTTCGTAGCTTTACTTTTCCAGATCACCTGCATCAGGACTCAGTGTCTTGGTCTGAGCCTTTTCACACAGATGCTTCGGTGGCAGCATTCCCTATCAGGCAGGCAAGACGAAATGAGGACGGCTTCCTACAAAACACTTCCGTGGCAGGTTTGTAATTGGCACTTAAGGAAGAAAGATAAATGAATGTAGCATAGGGTGTTTAGTCCCTCCAGGGCACCTGGCCATTAGTGATTTAGGGGCTTCCCCAGGTTAAAGCTATATCCCTCTTACCGTGTTTAATAATTACTGATGAATTCATCTTCAATGAATTGAATTTTTTTTTTAAGTGCATTTATTCCTCTGGCCTTCACAACGTCCTGTGTTGGGGAGTTCCACAGCTTAGTAATCCATAAATATGTAAGAACTTCCTTCTCATGTATGTTAACTAGAAGTATTTTCTTGCTGCTACTCAGAATCTTTAAAAGAAACCAACTCTTCAGAGCCAGAAACATCATTAATAGCTTGTTAATTGTTTACCCTGTTGAGATTGCTCCATATGGAAAACATGTTTTCCTCATTAGTAAAATACCTTCTTGGGATATTTTACAAAGGAAAAAGAGTTTACACATGCAGATGACTGTAATATTCCCATATATAATTGTGTGGGACATGTTAAATGAAATAACATGTTTAAGTTTTATGTCACTGGATTTTACTGTCCTGTTTTACTTTCAGTATTTTGATGCTTCTGTTGTATTTTGTTCTTTAATTCTGTACATGACAATTAAGCGTGAACAGTGATCTAAATCTCACAGCCTCACTGTATGTACACATTTTGTAGAGAAATGGGACATCCGTTGCATGCCCTTCCTGTCCCCCCCATCCCTCTTGTTAGGGCTGAATGGCAGAACTATGCTATGCTATTGAAAGCCTTTAAAAAAAAAATCTATGCATGCTATTTTATATTCTAATGTATTATTCATATCAGTACATAAGCTTATGCTTGTCAGTTTTATCTTGTGTATAGAACTGATTACTTTTGACAGTATTTTTGCACTGTTTCTTTTCTTTCTCTTTTTATAAAGTTCTATTCAGCATTAATTGACTGCAATAATTTTTTTTACCCTTCACTGCCTTTATGTAAATAGTTTCTTATATGCCTTTTCAAATATGAAAATGTCTTCCATCACTAAGGTTTTTTGGTAAGGCTGTCCTTCATATTCACAGTATACAATAAACCTCTTTTTTTTTTTTTTTTTCAAGGAGAAGTATGCATGCATTCTTTCCTATACAAGCTTAAGGTTTCGTATTAGCACCTTTCACACTTTTTTGTTTTCCATGGCACAACTGGGGCCACAGTGAGTTGTGAGGAACCTGCTGCTACTGATCGGAGGCCAGACATCCCATTTCTAAAATGAAGGTGCTATTTATTTCCCTGGACAGTGGTTCGTGTGGTGAGATAAAGTTAGACTAGAATGAGGCAGTTCATACGCCCTTCCCAGACTTGGCTGTGGATAGAGGAGAGGGCCTTGGATCTCTGCAGCCCTAAGATCTGCTGCAGTTTTACATACTCCACCAACAGTTGCTGGCTAGAGTGCAACGAAAGCTTTCAGCAGAACGATTTGACAAACCCCTGGGCTGTAGCAGTTTTATTTTCAGACTAACACCTACAAGAAAGAAAATATGATCTTGAACAATGGTGATGTGCTGTCTCTCTCATCGTATTTCCTAAGCTGTGAAAGCAACAAGGAACAGTCGCGTAGTTTTGCTGTGCAACATCCTTCAACTGTGGTACTGAAAGTACAGAGCCACTCTATCCCTCTTCTTCCTCCTCCTATCCTTTAAAGATATCTCTTGTCATCAATCTAAATCAAGGAGAAAGAGCCTTTAACGTCTTAAAATGTGCAAGGAAAGCTAGTTTCCTTTGGCTTTTTCCTCAGAAATTGGTCTCGTCCCTCCCTTAAAAGTAATTGCTAACAAACTAGTACAGCTTTACCCCACTGTAATAAAATCACCTTAACTTGTAAAGGGGACTAAAAAGCCATGAATTGCACAGTGCATGTCTTGTGTGATCCTTCTGAGCCCTGAGATAGGTGCCAGCAGTCTCTGTACAAAGCATGCTGAGCTCCAGGTCCTTACAGCAATGAATTCCCACCTGCCAGGAGCAATGCTGGGCCTGCAGATGAACTAACTGAGGGCAAGGTGCTGAAGAATTCACCAGCTCCATTTCTCCTTTCTTTCAGCTAAGCCACTGCAAGCAAAAATGATTTGTGAAAAGAGAAATTGGATACTAAACCACAACAACAATAAAAACATCCCAGTTTTGCTCATTAATTTGACAGATTAAGTGAAACAACTTAAAGCAAGTGTCAAACGAGTTGCACTCGTGTAAATGCACAGGTGGAGTCAAGAGGGGGTCAAGACCGCTTTATTTATTTTACACAAATAAGATGCACATTAAAATCCATAAAGAAAAATTGGCCATTTTTGCACAAGCTGTTAAGCAGCATACCCTCTAAGAAACCATGGCTGTTTCCTTTAAAAGAAAAAAAAGGCAATTGTAGATTTGTAGAAGCTAGAAACATTTTGCAAACCCTAAGTGTGTTTGTCATTCCAATTATAGGACAGAACTGTGTTCACACTCTATCACTTTTCAAAGTGCTCCTGAAGGTTTCCGTAACAAGGCTTTTTAAATAAAGGTTTGAAGGATTGCATAGATTCAAAGGCTCAGTGGTCCTCTAATTCCTTTTTGATCTCTGAAATGTATGGATGATCTTTCCCGTGTGCTACTTCCATGATAGCAATTGCCTATGAAAAGAAAAAAAATATTCACACAATTGATTCATATATAACACCAGGCTATAAATACTCTCTTTGGAGGTTTGAAACAGTCTGACACCTCTAGCTACTTTTTGTCCCCTTGTAGTCATAAACCCAGTAGGAAATAAAATGAAATTCAAAACTAAGTAATAAAGGTTTTTACATTCATAGAATACATCTTTCATCTTAAAGGATCCCAAAGCACCTTTCAAAATGATATTCCTGACAAAACTGCTTTGAATGCAACCAGCTCCAGGACAGAAAATTGCACATGGGGTGGGTAATGTTCTGGCAGTACACTTAACCACTGTCAGATGGAGCTCGGCTCCTACCAATTTATCCTTCAGCCATCAGACTGACAAGCAGGGCTATTGCAGGAGGGTTTTTCTGTTGTTGTTGTTTTGTTTTTTTTAAAAAAAAGGCATTTCAGACTCGATTCTGTAAACCCTTCACTGATTCCAGGGGGCCACCGATGTTTTAGGAAGGAAGCATCTGCTTGTGCAGCTGCTGAAGTGAAAGCAAGATCTCCTCAGATCCAGGCTCCCTTGTGGCAGACTCCTTGCAATTTTACCTACAGACAGCTCCGGTGCTACGAGCGGACGTTTCAGACAGCCAAACCCGCTGTCTTGCAGCTTCCTGCCAATATCCACAGAGAGTGGATAGAGTGCAGAGGCAAGATTTCCACTTCAGAAAAGGACAGCAGTAGCCCCAAGCAAATGCAATAAAATGTAATAGATAGGACTGAAGAAGTAAATTTAGACTGCCTGAGAATATTCAAAGACCACAGTGCTAGCATAAAGCAAGGAACTGCAGCAGCCTAACAGTAAGAACATTTAGCTGTTTCCTTCTCAGGAAGTTTTTATGGACTTAGCCTCTTTCTTACACTTGTTAAGTCAGTACAGCAGGAGCCTCGGGTTCTACCTCGACAACCGTGAGCAACGGCACCATCCCCCTCCTGCCAAGAGGAGAAATGGCAGCCTCCTGGATGAGCTGCTTGCAAACTGACAAAGAACAATGGTTTTGTTTTTCCACTAAATTCCAAACATCAGGGGCTGGGATAACTTTGGGCAGTTCCTGTAGGCAGCTTTTGGAAATGAGTCATTAGAAAATGTTTGTGTTAGGAAGCTAACTATGCCAGCACATCTACCTACAGTCCCCCGCGCTCCCATCCCGTGTTCCCAGTGGCACAAATCCCAGTTTTAGTCGAAGCTTAAACACCACAGTGAAGAAAAACCTCTGCTTAATTTTAAACTAGGTGATGGTTACATTTTAGAGCATATACGCTGTATCTTTCACCATGGCTGTATGGCTTTGTTATTGCTGGCTAAAAACTTCCCAGCATCTAAAAATGAGAACAAAAAAAAAGCCCCCAAACCAAGACATTCCACCCTAAGCCATTATATGCTGCAGTAGTCACTGATACTTAAGAAACTAAAATAAACTTCTGTCCAACAGCAATAGGGGGAGAAAGTCAAGAAACATGGTACAGACTAATAGTAATTAAAAAAAAGAACCAAAACCTAAGGAATAAGGAAGAAGCTAATAAAAAGGGGTGAAGAAGAATGTAAAAAACCAAATGCTGTATTTGCCAACTTCAGCATTACCATATGCATTAAATTCCCTTCAGCTATTTAAAAATAAATTGGTTCCAGAACAAACAACCACCAAAAGCATGCCTAGTTTAACTTGGACATCGGAATCGCAGGCATCAATGAAACACTATGTGCCTTTTATAAGAACCAAACGTTTCTTCCTGTCCTTACCCTGCAAGGCAGGAGAAGCCAGAGTTCTGTTTCATTTACACTAGCACAGCTCTAGCTCAGAGAAGAACGTGTAACAAATGTTTCAGGGTAATGCTCCCTCCAAGTGCTGCAGTGGAAGTCCACTGTGAAAAGATAAGGCCCCTCGTACGAGAGAACAGGCCCATCATCCAATCTTGGAAAAATCGAAGCTGAGCCAAAATTCCTGTAAGCAAATACATTAACACGTGCTGCGTTTTCAGCCAGGCCAGGCTTACTGTCAGAGCAGCACATCGTGTTTCAGCGATTCCGTGCCCAAACTGCTGTTATTAACAAAGAAAGCAGGAGATACCCTCTTCAGGGCCTTAACCCCAGCCGGTCTGTTCTCCAGCGCCATGTGCAGCCTCCCTAATTTCAGCCACATGGAGGCCACGTTCAGCGAGTAGGCGGGATAATGCTGACTGCAAGAGAGAAGGAAAGTCAACTTCATCAAACCCGGCAGTGGCGGAGCAGTTCCCCCAGCCCCCTCCCCTGCCTCTCGCTGCCCCGGCCCATTCCCTGCTCGGCCCCAGCGCTGCTGCGGCTGCCAGGAGCCAGCACCAATTGGTGGTGGGCCGGGGCTGCCTGTCACTGGGGAACTGAACCGCCACGACCATATGCCTCGCCGCAGCTGTCAGATGGCAGCGCCGTTCTGCCACCAGCTTTAACCCAGCCAGCTACAGAAAGAGACGGCATCGGGCCTGGTTTTCACCCTGCACCCACAGAAGCAGCTCTGCTTATTCCACAGTCGGGTCCCCGGCAGGCAGCGAGGCCCCCAGCAGCTCGCACCCTTCGGCCCTGCAGTGCGTGGAGGTAGCGGAGCGCAGCTCGGTAGAGCTGACCCGGAATGCCAGGCGCCTGCCAGCGGAGCTGGGCAAGTCCCGGGGAAGATAAATGGCACCGAGTCCCCGGGGAGAAAGCACTGGCTCGTTCTTTGTATCACTGCCCTCTGCCAAGTGATCTGTGACTCGACGCTGGCGGCTGCTCCAGAGGGAGAGTTCGACTCGCGCCCCCCCAGCTGGCAGGGAAGGCTCAAGATGAGGATCTGCCTGGGAGATGCACGGCAGGACCAAACGCAGCACCCAGCGGGCTGGCTCTAATAACACCACTGCTGTAAAACCACCAGAAATTCATCAGAAAAAGTATTTTTTTTTTCCTGCAGAGGTTGTGCGCTGCCCTGCTCCACCAAGGGCTTCAGCCTGTCCGTTCTCCCATGCCTGCAGCGAGATCAGGGTCATCGGGGCACCAGCACAGGCACAAGCACTGCAGCTGAGCTCGGCTCCAGCTCCCTCTGCTGCTCAGCCCCAGCCCGGGACAGGGCCCTGCTTTCCACCGTGCTGCTGCAGAGAGGGCTGGGGGCTGACTGTGACACCTGGGCTTTGGCTCCACGCCTCTACACAAAATTCAGGCTGCAGATGGGTTTCGAAGCTCTGCTTTAGTGAAGTATTAGGAGGATATATAAAACAAAACAAAACCCAGCAGTATTTATCTAGCTAATCAGAACTAGCACAGTACCCATGATGATATAAACTTATATAATCAAGAACTTCAGACTGAAGCAGGCAGCATTCTGATTGTACCAAAGTCTGCTGCAGAATTTGAACACTTTTACAAGTGATGTCATGGGTAGCATGTTTATACAAAAGGTATTCTCT